AGCAAATATCGGGACAGTCCCGATAAAATCCGGACGTCTGGTCACCCTACTCTAGCGGTTCCCTCCTGGCTGCTGGCATTGGCCTTTCTGCCCCGTCTGTGAGCTAGGCTGTTGGTGTGACGAACTGGGACTGTTCTTGCTGTGGTGTTTGAATGCTGACAGGGGAGTGTGACTAGGATGGTCTGCATCGGGGGATGGGAGCCGGCCCAAGGGAACATACCGGAGCTTGGAACATGAGAACCCAGGAGGGGGATGGAGGGCAGATGACTCCGGGGCCCGGGAAACTAAACAAAGGCTGTGGGAGGGGTCGCTAAAGCCAGAGTGCTGGGAGCAGGTGGAAGGAGGCTGGAGAGTTGGCTGGGAGGCAGAGATGGCTCTGACCCCCCAAGGGGGGTGGGCTGGCATGCCCTGGGACCCCAAGCTGGACCTAACTGAGGGGGGCCCTGTTGTCTGTGCCTGCAAAACCTGTCTTGGACTGTATTCCTGTCATCCAAATAAACCTTCTGCTTTACTAGCTGGCTGAGAGTCATGGTAAATCGCAGGAAGCCGGGGGTGCAGGGCCCTAAGTCCCCCAATACTCCGTGACAGTTGGTTTCTCTGGTTCCCTACCAATTATCCCCACATCCTTTCCCTGACCCCTGTGCTGGCTGCCCAGAGTCCCAAGCCTGGTTCCTTGCTCCCAGACTGGACTATATCTGCTCTCGCCTGTTCTGGACAATGCAAACCTAGGGTCTTGGACCCTGCACGGAGGAGGCCGAGGCAGGAAGACTCTGCAATCTGACCTGAACTTCTTGTTTTAATGGTTCCTGCAAACCTGACAGTCACGTCGTCTAGCCCACCAGTCCTGCCAGCTGCCCCACATGGCAGCTCACTCCAGCTTGGACATTTTCATCCACAATTCCCCTTCCTCTCCTGGTCTCCAGCAGGTTTCTACCCAGCCGCCGTTCTGCCTCCTTTTCCAGGACTCAATGCCTGAGCCACTGTGCTCTGCACGCACCCTCAGCTCCTGCCTGCTAGGGTGGCACTGCGTCCAGGCACCAGGAGGTAGTTGAGACACTGCCTTGACTGTGCAGCTGAGGAGACGCAGAGCTCCCACCACCGCGGGTCTGCACAGCTGGGTGTCCAAAGAGGCTGCCACCGACGGTCAGGACTCACTTTTCTAGGACAGGAACGGAGGCAGAAGGATTCATGCTTAGAAGGTGAATGCACGAGGCACGTTCTTTGCACACGCATCTGTGTGTGAGCGTAGTGGGACTCGTTGCTGTCGGGGAACGGCTGTAATGTGCACGTTCAGCGCAGGAGCAGGGGACATTTCTGAGGGCAGGGTCTCTGCAAACGCTGCTTGGTGCAAGTATCGATCAGCACGTACTGCAGCTGGCCCTGCTATGGGGTCTGGGGCTCATCCAAATTTACAGCCTATTCTGCCCCCTCCACTGCGCCCAGTGGTAACAGCGGGGCCCAGAGAGGCAAAGAGGTTAATGAGGAGAATGCATTAGGATGTCATTAACATGGGAGGAAACGTCAGCTCAGAGAGTTTGAATTCAGCCCCTCGGTTCCTGGCAAGAGGGAGCGGCCGTTTGGCCCCGCTGTCTGACTCAGCCAGAACCACACGTCCTGCATCTGGGCCAGGAGACAAGTCTGTTCATTCTGTTCCCAGCCAGACCCCTGGCTGCAGTCTAGCAGGCTGTGCTCTGCCCCTAGCAAATGCAGGCTTGGAGGGTCATTGAGCCCAGAACCCCATGGGGGTGAGACCAAGGTACCCCTCCCCCCAGCATTCCCAGGCTGAACACTGAGCCGCAGCACTTCACACTAAACTCAGGTTCTCAGCCTGGTTCCTGCCATGGCCGCACAAGCTGCCAGGTGCAGCCGCTCCTACCCAGAATCCTTTGCAATGGTTCCCATGCTGCAACAAGCTCCGGCTGACAGTGCCCTGCCCTAGCCAGAGATTCGGAGAATCTCCGAGCCCCTGGTGAGCCTGGAGCCTGGGTGGAAGGGCCTGGACTCTGGACCCCAGCCCCAGGCTGAGTGTTTTCCAGAGCTATCTGAGTGGTTGCTGTCCGATTTAGCCCAAGGTCACTGTGAGCAGCACAGAGAACAGGAGTTCCCAGAACCACCCATCTCACCTGCACTGAGGGGAAAGAGGGGCTGCCTGCATTGCATCCCTCGAATTTGGCAGACAGAGACTTTGCTGACCCTCCAGCCCACCCCTCTGTGGGCTCCGTGGCCCAGAAACGCAGTGGTTTGTCCCAGCCACTGCCTGGAGCTGTGATCAATACTGACTGCTTCAGCGCTCCAGCCACGCTTGTACTGGACCTGCACTCCGCATTAGCCTGTTGGTGGCATGGTGCAGAGGCCCCACGCACTCTGTCAACCTGGTCAGACACCGGTCTGCTGGGAGGGGCCCCACTACTTGTACTGGAGCTGCATGGCACCCTGGCACTGTTTCTAGCTCTGGGTCTCCAGGGCTCACTCCCAGCTTCTGGTCTCTTGTCCGAGCCCTTCCTTAGGATGAGGGTCTCCATAGTCCTGTTGCCCCAGACCCTGGAACCAGCCGCCCCGGGTGCTTCCACATGCTCTCCCAGAGCGCTGGGCTCCTGGTTTAACCCCTTCAGGGACAATGGGACAGGGATGCAAGGAGCTTCCTAACCACATCGACTTTACTCCAAGAGCACTAGAGAGCTACAGATCTTTGCAAATAACCAAAATCCCGACCCTCTTTTCCCACCCCACCAATCTGATCCCTCACCTCCTGGGAGACCAAGGACTGGTCAGCGTTTCCAGCTGGGGAGAGTCCCTCCCCCCACCCCCCAGCCAGTGCCTCTAGCATGTCATGGTGGGTGGCTAAATACAGTCTCTGTTTGCCATGTGGCCAGACGGAGAAAGTCCATCTCCTTCCCCCAGTCAGACGTCTGCACACACAATTCATTGTTCTTGGGCCAGCTGTCAGTTGTGATGGCCCCAGATTGCTTGTCACGACTTCTCAGTCACAGTCATTCAGATGAGCGTCCAGGACTTTTCTGGGCTGGGCACCTGGTTGGACTGCGGCCTAACAGACCATGTTCTCGTGGGCACAACCAGAACCAGGGACAGGCTAAGGACAAGGAGACAGTGGCGCTTACAGTTTACTATGACATATGCCCTCCACCCCCATCACATGCTACACAGTTCCTGGACAGACATCAGAAGTGAGTCATGGGCACGAGCTGTGGGCCCCAGCAGGACACGCCCCAAGTAACCCATCCCTAGTCAGGGTGCTGGGAAGCAAGGAGGCTCTGTGACGTGGCGAGAAAGCCCCTGGACAAGCACTGGAGACCTGGCTGGGGAGCAAGTGTCGCTACCAGAGGCTGCTCCCAGCTTTCATCGAGCGAATGCCCCCCTTGGGCTCAGAGGCAAGTGAGAAGGGAAACAAGAAGCACAGACAGGAACAGGGCCGGCTCCAGGCACCAGCTTCTCAAGCAGGTGCTTGGGGCGGCCGCTCCGGAGAGGGGCGGCAGGTCCAGGTATTCGGCGGCAATTCGGCGGACGGTCCCTCACTCCGCCTAGGAGTGAAGGACCTCCTGCCGAATTGCCGCCGCAGATCGCGATCGCGGCTTTTTTTTGGGCTGCTTGGGGCGGCCAAAACCCTGGAGCCGGCCCTGGACAGGAAACAGGTCTGCAAAGCACAAACTCAAGAGCCTTTGAATAAGGGCCTGGCTGGCGGTACCACAATGGCCTGGAGCAGAGAGCCAAACTGCAGCAAACCTGGTGCTCTAGGGAGCTGGGATGAGGCTGATGGACAGAGAGGGCTTTGCCGAGGGTTGTAACCACCTGTGCCAGTCAAACGGACAGAACCAGCTGAGGAACACATGCAGGAGCATGAGAAGTGTAACCGTGTCTGTAGGCCCCAGGGGAGCGTGTCCTTACACATTCCTGCTCACATGGGGACAGCGAATAGTGGACAATCCAGCTAACATGCCAGGGGAAGGGAGTGTGGGACTCTGCTCTCGTGTGTGTCTATCAGTCTCTCTCCCGTTAACTCCAGGGTGACTCCAGACCACTTCCAGAGCATTAACAGAGCCGGGCACAATGGGCCCGTCTGGGTTCTGAGGACCCATGAAGAAGGTTTGAATCTACGGAGCAGGGAGATGGCTGATGGTTGGTGGGAGCTTTGCTGAGAAGATGGGGAAGGCTGGAGGATTTTAGGGACAAGCCTCATTGGGGGAGGGGAGTCAGGTGAGGTGTAAACCAGGAAATTCACTTGCTGCTCATGTGATGGCCTGGGATGGGATCCCTTGGGAGCTGGGTCTCTGGGTCATGCTTCCTCAGGGGGATCCAGGTGCTCTCTGGATCTAAGAGGATTTGTAAGGCTCTTCAGGCATGAGAACAAAGTGGTTCTTTAGTACCAGCCCTGTATGTATCTAGCCACACTATGGAGGGGTAGGTATCCTGGCAGCCAGTCTACACGGGAGACAGCATTCCGCCATCTGTGCCCCTTGGAGCCATTCCACTGCCAATAGAAACCTCTGTCCCTCCTGGGGCACATACCGGTCTCTTAGTGCCATGTAAACGGTGATGGATTCAGTCTCTGGTTGCCCTGGCACTGCCATTCTCTTTGATTTCACCCCTGCTTCTCTTTCACCCAGGGACCGGATTGCCCGGATTGGGCTGGGAGTAATCCTGAATTTGACCAAGGAGCGAGACAGCCCCCAGGTGGCACGCAGCCTCTCGGGTATCCTGGAGCACATGTTCAAACACACTGAGGAGACCTGTTTCCAGCTCATTTCTGACGGGGGCCTGGATGCCATCCTCTACTGGTGCCGCTGGACCGACCTCGTTGTACTGCGCCACTGTGCCATGGCCCTGGCCAACTGCGCCATGTACGGCGGGCAAGCCAACCAGCGGCTGATGATCGAGAAGAACACGGCAGAGTGGCTCTTCCCACTGGTGTTCTCCAAAGATGACGAGCTGATCCGCCTGCACGCATGCCTGGCCATCACAGTGCTGGCCACCAACAAAGAGATCGAGAAAGAGGTGGAGCGGTCGGGGACCTTGGCGCTGGTGGAGCCCTTCATTGCCTCTCTGGACCCGGAGCGGTTTGCATGCGACTTGCTGGACAGCAGTGACAACAGTCAGGGAAGGACAGCAAAGGACCTGCAGCATCTGGTGCCCTTGCTGGACAGCTCGCGGCTGGAGGCGCAGTGCATCGCTCTCTTCTACCTGTGCGTAGAGGCAGCCATCAAAGCCAGGCAGAAGAAAACCAAGGTATGGCTGGGTTTGGGGAGGCACGGTTACCTGGGACAAGTAGATGTGGGAGGAGGAGGGGCACTGAGGTTGCATCCAAGCAGCCCTGCAGCCTCTGGGAAATGGGGCATCGCTTGCTCCCCCTGTGTGCTCACAGTTCTGCCTATTAGGGTGCTGTGGTAGTCCTGAAATGCCCACGTGCCAGGACTGCGCAGCACGAACCAGCGGGAAGGCACTCGGGGAAACAAGGATGTGATGGCTCCTGCTCTTCTGTGCCCAGATTTTCAGTGAAATTGGGGCTGCCCAGAGCCTGAAGAGGATAGTGTGTTACTCCACCAACACCACCGCCTCGTCGCTGGCCAAGAAGGCGCTGCGCATGATGGGTGAGGAGGTGCCTCGACGGATCCTGCCCACCGTCTCCAGCTGGAAACCCATCGAGGTGCAGACGTGGCTGCAACAGACTGGATTCAACAAATACTGCCAGAGCTTCCTGGTAGGGCCATGCTTGCGGGGAAAAGGGCAATGGAAAGGCCCTTTGCTGGGAACACACAAAGAACCCACCTTGTAACTGTCTATAATAAGGAACCCTATAGATCCAACGTCACCCAGAGCAATGGAGCAATTCATGGCCACTGCCACTCCAGGGCAATGTCTCCACCTGGCATCTTCAGCCTTGAGGAGAGCTAGACGGGACTAGGCCCGTGTCTTGTCTCACCAGTGCTGCAAGCCCCAGAGCAGGAGGCCAGCCCTCCATCCTCATGCACGGCCATCCCAGGGCAGAATCCTGCCTGATCACAGCTGGGGCAATAGGCCGCCGTGTGTCACGTCTCACCCAGATCCGATAGCCAGAGCACGCTGGAATCACAGAGCAGGAGTGTGGAGGGAGAGGCTGTCGACGAGCAGTCCCATCTCTGGATGGCAAAGAGAATGGCTTAGGGCACCGGAGCTGCCCGTGAGCCCCCATGTGGGGCTGCCCACCATGCACTGCATGAGCATCTCATCCATGCCCCCAGGCTGAGTCTCCTCCCTGGCTCAGGGCTCCATGTGCATTGTGCAGCAGGCCTTGGTGGGCTGCTCTGAGACCTCCTCTCTTGGCAGGAGCATGAGGTGGATGGGGACTTGCTGCTGCGACTGACGGAGACGGATCTGCGGGAAGATCTGGGGATGGCCTCTAGCATCATCCGGAAGAGGTAGGACCCTTGTGTCCAACAGCAGTCGCTGCAGAGACAAGTGGGAGAGTCCAGGGCAAAGCCCTTCGACTCTCCCCTCCGTTCCCTGCTGTGACAGGAGCACCAGAGGCAGCTGCCTCTGACCTCACACTGGGAGAGGCTGGGCTCTTGGGGAGGGATAGCTCAGTGGTTTGAGCATTGGCCTGCTAAAGCCAGGGTTGTGAGTTCAGTCCTTGAGGGGGCCATTTAGGGAGCTGGGGCAAAAATCAGTCTGGGGATTGGTCCTGCTTTGAGCAGGGGGTTGGACTAGATGACCTCCTGAGGTCCCTTTCAACCCTGAAATTCTATGAACTCTGAGACCTAGAGAAACACCACCAAAGGCCCTGTGTCCAGCTGTGACTCCATCCTGCTGCCGGGGGAGTTCTCACAAGGTGGCCAATGCCACAGGGAGTGGCTGGATGGGAGGGGGAGGGGCTCTCCTCAGCACAGGAACTGGGCTGGGGCCCTGTGTGCTACTCAGAAAGCTGCAGACTGGATTCTGCTCCCCCGGCTGCAGGTCCTGCCCCTTCACATCTCAATGCAGAGATGTTCCATCAATCAATCGTCTGTCTGTCTGTCCATCTCTCTCATGCACCCTTCACCACAGCATCTGGGCACTCTCTTCTCTTCCTGAGTGCCTGCCTGACCCCGAGCCCCATCAAATCCCTCTCCCCCTATGCTTACATCCATTGACTTGCCAGGTTTTTCCGGGAGCTGACGGAGCTGAAGACATATGCAAATTACTCCACCTGCGACCGCAGCAACCTGGCCGACTGGCTGGGCAGCGTTGACCCCAAGTTCCGCCAGTACACGTACAACCTGGTGACTTGTGGCATCGACCGCAACTTCCTGCACCGTGTAACGGAGGAGCAGCTGCAGGAGGACTGCCACATCGATGTGGGCTTCCACCGCGTGCGCATTCTCTCTGCCGCCAGGGGTAAGGACCTGTTCCCTTCTCAGCACAGAGACACCGGGGGCCAGTCTGGTCACTGGTCAGACCTGGCCAGGGCTGGTCAGCTCACTGGGTCGGGGGCCGGATGGGACTAGTCTGACTGCCGGGTGACCATTCACAGATCACCATTAACTCTTCACTGCTATCCACTCTCATATCTAGAAATGCTTCACTCTCCCCTGCCATGCAGTGGCTGCAAATCCACCTCCGAGGGGCCTGATGTGTTTATCAGCTACCGACGGAGCACTGGCTCCCAGCTGGCCAGGTGAGTGCCGAGGGGATCGCCCCACGTGGACCCACTCCAGGGGAAGGCGCAATGGCGCCTGTTCTGTGTCATGGTGCTGATGGCTTAGGAATGACCCAGGATCTCTCTGTGGGCAGAGAAGGACAGAGCAGCATCTGGAGGGGACAGTGCCTGAGGCTCAGTGAGAGCAGAGCAGACTAGAAGGGGAATTCAGCCCCCAAACCCCATCCTGCTTCCCTGATGATGCTGACTTGCACCTTCCTCATTCTACCCCCCTGGTGGCCCAGTCAGAGCAGGGCTTAAAGCCTCCCTCCCTGTTAGTTCTCTGACAGCCCACACGCCTCGAGCCTGCGCAGGCCTGAGCCAGCAGCTACCGTCTGGAGGCTGCAGTTGGCTCTGTGGAAGCCTGTTCTCTGCTCCTCTATCTCTCGGTGCCCCTGGCTGAGATGACAAGGACGGGGGGTGCCCTGATGGTGCCTCTCTTGCCCCCAGCCTGCTGAAGGTCCATCTGCAGCTGCATGGCTTCAGCGTGTTCATAGATGTGGAGAAGCTGGAGGCGGGGAAGTTTGAGGACAAGTTGATCCAGAGCGTGATGAGCGCCCGCAACTTCGTGCTGGTTCTCTCGCCAAACACGCTGGATAAGTGCATGGGGGACCCTGACCGCAAGGACTGGGTGCACAAGGTGAGAACCCCCGGGCAGGAGCGCAGAGGGACTTGGTGGCACCGCGGGAGTGGGAGGGGCTGGAGATGGCTCTGGCTGCCATGTGGGGAGCCATGAGGTAAGCTCTGGGCTTTCCCCTCAGGAGATCGTGACGGCCCTGAGCTGTGGGAAGAACATCATCCCTGTGGCTGACCATTTTGAGTGGCCTGATCCCCAGGATCTTCCCGAGGACATGAGGGCTGTCCTGAAATTTAACGGCATCAAGTAAGTGCGGGCGGGGCCCTGTCCCAGCCGTGCTCCTGCGGTGGCTGCTGACTTGTGTGGCGTGCAGGCAGTGCGATGCAATCTGAGGCGGAGGGCGGGTGAGACAGCAGACGCAGGCCGCTGAACATCACAAGTTCAGGGCAGGGGGTGCCGGCCTCTCTGCAGATGGGACCCATCTCATTTGGGAGGTGGAATTTTCTTCTCCTGGTCTCCCTTGAATAATTCTCCTCCCTCCTTGGCGTTTTGGCCCCTCAGCTACCTGCAGGCAGATCTCGTGTCTCCTGTTATCCTTCAGCCGAGCAGGGCAGACTGAGCTCTGTCCATCCCTCCTCCTGACCCAATCGCTCCAGCCCCTTCATTGTTTCTCCTCTTCTTCCCTGAGCTCTGCTTGCCACTCGTGCAGAATCCCAGACGCGTCCCAGCACCCGTGGCCGCTTGGCACTTTGAATGGCATCCCAGGAGGAGTGTGTGTGGGGGGGTCCCTACTGTGCCCGTGGCCCAGGCTACCCAGGGTTGCTACCATGGGGCCATAGCATGAAGGAGCCTTTTCTGTGCTGCTGGGGTTCAGCTCCCTGCCTCTGCTAGCCACAGGCAACCCAAGCCCTGCCTCTCAGCCCACGTGGGCTCCACTGGCCCTCATGCAGGTGCCGATAGGACACTCCAACCCCCGCAGTGCCCAACCCTGGGGCACTGGTCACTCGGGATGTTCCCAAAGGAACAGCACCCCAGCTTCCCAGTGACCTGAGACCCCACTCTGCGTCACACACAGCACTCAGGTTTGCTTCCTGAGAAAGCAATTGTATGTAGCAGAGAACAGAGAGTCATAGGGCAGCCAATAGAAACACTGGAAACAAAGGGTTACTCGTAAAATCAAATCCTCACATGCCTGAGCCCTGCTCTGCTGAGCTGCTGTCACCCCGAAGTCTTTCCCCTGCGCTGTCCCACTGGGATGGCCAAGACCCTGCTTTCATGAGGCCCAGCCTGCTGTCTGCACCCCCAGATAGATCCTCTCTCTCCTTTGCTCTTCACTGGAAAACAGACCCCTGGTTACCTCATGAGCTCCCCCTTAGCGGGTGACTCCGCATGCTGCCAGACTCCCACTGGGAGACACACAACACACAATGGCCAATAGGGGAGAGAAGTGGTGGGACCTGACTTAGGGACTCTGCCTGTGGGTGACCTGCCTGTAGCTACAGTGCCCAGCGTAGACAGAGACATGCCTCCTTTCACAGGACCTGCACGGCCCGTTGGCAAGGGGATGATGTGACACCCATACGTGAGCGCTGGGGAACTAGAATGTAAACACCAGCCCCAGGGTTTCCTGTAACCCGTATGCACCTCTATGCCCTCTGCCAGTTGGTATCGAGGTTCTTCGGTCACAATGGCATCCGGGGGGTGGGTCTGACAGTGCCCATAACCTGGGCACATGAACAGCATCCGGGGGGGGGGGGGGTCTGACAGTACCCGTGGCCCGGGCACATGAACAGCACCTGGGGGGCAATCTGACAGTGCCCATGGCCCGGGCACATGAACAGCATCCGGGGGCAGGGGGGTCTGATAGTGCCCGTGGCCGGCGCATCGAGCTCACCTGCAGACTTTCGAGTCCATTGAGCAGGGTGTGATAGTCCGTTTTCTCCCCTGGATGCAGATGGTCCCATGAGTACCAGGAGGCCACAATCGAGAAGATTATCCGCTTCCTCCAGGGCCGCTCATCCCGGGATTCTTCAGCTGGCTCAGAGAACAGCCTGGAGTGTGCAGCCCCTCTCGGGCAGACCTACAGCCAGGCAGGGCCGCCCCATATCCTCTAGGGCAGTGTTGTTCAACCAGGGACCGGCTTGCTGCTTTCCTACACTGCATCAGGGAGATCTCAGGGCGTGGCGCCGGTCCTCAGCCCGGCAGCTGAGAAACACGGTGCTAGGCACTTCCCAGAAGCGCTCTCCCCAAGTGGGGTTAAATCCTTCCTGTTAGAGCTTCCTGCTTCCAGGGCTGCGCCCTGGGCCTACCCCTGAGGGACCTGGACCACTTCCCTGGCTCAGACAGTGCAAGAGGAAGGGCCCTTGGCTGGGGCAGCAGCCGAATATCAACTCTCTAATTACCCTCCCATCCTCGAATCCAGCCCCAGCACCGAAAGGGATGTTCTCCCCTTAAGAGCAAAGAACACTTCCTATCTGCCTCCTACAGCCTGAGCCTGTGGGGGCCAGACAAGAGGGCCCGTCCCAATGCCCCCGGGGCAGGGAGACAGCTGTTCCCCTTCCCTCGCCATGATGCCCACTCGTCTGACTCCCCCAGCCTGCAGAGAAAGTGATGGAGAACGCAGACCCCACCCAGAAATGTTTGCAGGAAGGAGGGGAGGGGGAGGAAGGGGCAGTTGAGAGGAAGTGGCCCATGCATAAGGCTACGATTTAGTCACAGGTATTTTTAGTGAGTCACGGACAGGTCAGAGACAATAAAAGTCACGGCCAGTGATCTGTCCGTGACTTTTATTAAAAACACCCGTGCCTAAATCTTAGGTGCTGAGGGGGGCAGGGGTGCTCTGGCAGTCGCTGCTGCTCCTGGGGGTGGGGTCAGCCTGGGGCCCCACCGCCGCTCCTCCGGGCAGTGCCTGGGACCAGTTGCCTGGGGTCGCCTGAGCAGCGACCAGCGTGGCTGGTCCTAGGGCCGCCCCAGCTGCTCGGGCGGCCCTGGGCTCAGCCGCACCAGCCGCTGCAGCTGCAGAAGTTACAGAGGTCCCAGAAAGTCATGGACTCCATCACCTCCGTGAAAGACTCGCACCCTTACCCACGAGCTGTGTATTCACGAGGACTTCACAAGGGAGCATCACGCAGCTGGCACAGGCTGCCATGTGGACTCCAGCTCCTGCACTTACACGCCCTGCTGGGTGCCTGGGGACCATTACCAAGGGCAGCAGCTCAGGGAGCGAGTGGCACCACAAAGTGCCAATGGGCAGGAGAGGCCGAATGAAAGCAAAGCCCTGGCGCAATCCCCTTCTTTTATGTCAGGTCCTTACAACCTGCCTAGGTGGAGACCTCCCCTCCCCCCATCCCAAACAGCAGCTCCTGCCACCTCCTCAAGGCCTCTCTCCACACGCTGCCCAGCCTGGGGAGCCCTTTGCTTCTAGCTCAGGTAGAAATCTTTCCCGGGGGCCTTTGCAAAGTGCATCTTGTTTTTAATCACCTGACGTCTCAGTTCTTGCCACTCTGGTGCCATTGTAAAGCATTGTCAGGCCCATGTATGCAGGGCACAAAGCAGCCCGGGGCCTGGAGCGCGCTGCTGGGCGCGGCGCGGCGTGGAAGGACGTTAGCTGCTGCATTGTACCTGTGGGATCATTATACACTGGCAAGGCACTGGGCTGTGGCTGTGTTTTATTCCTGCCGGCTCTGCTCTTCATCCCAGATTGGTCCTGGCTCCTGCTCCGCTCAGAGGGAGGGGTCTGCGTGAGCTTCCCTCCAGCTTAGGCTTTGTTGGCTCCAGCATTAAGTGACAGGCCGTTTCCTCACCTCCCCCATCCCGCTCACGAGCCAGATCCTCTGCACATTCAGAATCGGCCAGCAGGGTAGTGGGGATGGGAGCAGAGGCCATTGCCGAGGCCGACGGGGTTTCCTGGGTGTGGGGCTGGGCTGACAGCAGGACCTTGCAAGATGTGGGGCCAGGCACAGTTGGCCCATGTACTCTGGGCCCCGTTCACCGGGGGGAGCGGGGGCTGTACTGCAGCTGGAGCTCAAACACAGGGCTTGTTTTACTTTGCCCCTTTCTGTGGCATCTGTGGGTTCAGTGAGAAGCCGGATGTCAGGCAGCCAATGCGAGATGGTCTCAGCTCGCTGTGCTGGGGCCTGGACCTCACCCTGCACCTACACCTCTGATCTTTGGCTGCTGCTGGAAGCTGCTCTTAACAGGCCCCTTTCTGACGCAGGAACTGGCCGGGGCTTTTCTTGGAGGAGAATTCGTCTCCTCCAAAGGGGTCCCCACTCTGCAGGCTGAAGCTAGCTGCTTGGGGCCACACCAAGCCCAGCCCTGCCCTAGGAAAGGAAAGGTCATTGGCCTATTGAGCAGTGACAGCATGGTCCCCCTGCACACCCAGCGAGACAGACTTCCAGCTCCAGGTGACACACTGTGACCGGATGGCCAACAGAGGGCGCTCCTCGGGTACCACAGACATCACTTCTCATCCCCATCTTCACTGCAGCTCTCCTGCCTGTTCCTTCCTGCTTCCATTCACAGGGCAGCTCCTGCAGCAGCCCCCGCAGAGCGCAGCGCAAACACTTCAAGCCTGGCTGGAGCGTCAGGCCCACGGCGGGTAAACGCCCGGGGGCCTCTGCACAGCACTCTGGGTACAGGAGCCGCTCACCTGAGCACTGAGCGGGTTGCTTAGTCCCAGCAACGCTGCGGAGCAGTTACAGCCGCCGAGCCCTCTCTGCCCACAAGCCGGCAGGCTCCAGCACCACGAGATGGGTCCAAAGAAAATGGGATGCGGTGAAGGAACATTCATTATTAATGAGTGGAGATGATGGGCTCCTGAATGAAGAATTGCTTTCAATTAGAGGCATTGGGGTTTGAGCGAGTGATGCCACGGGCCAGCAGCAGGGGGGGGTGGCACAGCAATGCGTCTGCAGCTGATGTGATCGGAGACAGCCATAGGCACAGGGACACGGCCTGCCTAGGCTCTGCACCTTCTCTGCCACCCAGGCCTAGGGGGTGGGGAGGAGCCCAGCGCATGTCACTTTGGGATCCGACTGGAGAGTCTAACCCCAGCAGCACTGCAGGCCCCACTCAGGCCTCTCCTCCCCATGTGCTGAATGAAGGGGCGGAGCCTGTTGTACGCTGCACTGGCCCAGAGTCACCTGCGTGGATTTTAGGGCAAGAGGGCACCATTGCTCATCAAGGCCAGCCAGACTTCTCCCTTGGGAAGGCACAAACCATCAGGCCTTAGGAAATTCCAGCTAGTACAAGATGCTGCAGTACGTCTCCTCAGCATCACGGGCTACTGTGAGCCCATTCAGCCTGTCCTCCACCCTTTACACTGGCTTCCCATAGCCAAGAGAGTCAAAGACAAGGACCTGTAAAGCCTAAGGCACAGGATGAGAGCCACGGCAAACAACTCCACCTCTCAGGCACAATGGAACTTCCTACCATGAGGACAAAGTTGGTCTGTGTGGGAGACAGAGCTTGCTGGGGGGCTGGTCGGAGACTGTGCACAAACTCCCCGGGGAGCTAAGGATCAGCCCAAATTCCCACTCCCCGAGGCACTGCGCCGACCTGCCTTCTCTAACGCAGACCGAGCAGCGTGGCTATAGCGAGGGGGGAACCCTACCAAAACATTCCACTGCCCACATATTCTCTCCCGGAAAGAGGGTGAGAGAGAGAATAAACCACAGGAGGCAGCTGCTAGCCGTGTTGCTTCATGCGTGAGCAGAAGGTGCTGAGGGCAATCCAAGAACCTGTATAATATAGACTAGAAAGGCTCCAGCCTCCCTTTTACCCTGGCCCTGGATGTCGCGGGCAGGTTTGGGATTAATGTGAGTGAGCATGGTGCCCATTGTATTCTAAGGACACCCATACCTGCTGCTCACAGCCACGCTGGGGTAGGTCGTGCACTGGCCCCATGCTTGAGGATCTGGGAGGAGAGCCAACAAAAAGAGCTGTTGTTCTTCCATAAATCCTATTGGATTCTTCCTTTACACACAGTGGGTGACTGACACACAAAGCGAGCATGGTGGGACCAGTGAAATCGAACTGCACAGACACTGCCAGCTGGTGATCCTGGCCAGGAAAACGGACCTGCAGCCCAAGGGGACCAGCTAGGATTTAGTGGCCTGATGCTGCCTTGAGGAATTCAGATACAAATTCATCCACAGCCCTGAACTCCCAGCATGCCCCGTTTGTAGGGAAAGTCAGCGTAGGCCCTAAGCTCAGAGTTGCACAGGCAGCCCCAGCACTGAGCTTTATATTGACATAAAGCATCCGACCACGGCTCTGCTTCTCCCCTCATGCACCTTCCTGCTGCCTGCTCCTTCTCTCCCCACTCCAGCAGAGGCGAAACAAGCGCTTGGGCTGATTTGGCAAACACTGCCTATTATATTTACAGGCAGGTAACAGAATCAGAGCTGCTGTGAGCTTCACTCCAGTGCCCAGGAAAAGGTTAACCCAGTGTGTAGCTGCTGCTAGCAAGTCTCAGGGGATCATCTCTAATCTTTATGGCTCCAGGCTCTTTGATGAGCTCATTCTTCACCTGGCATCAGATTATTTGCTGCTGCTTTTCTCTCCAAAGTCTTCAACCCAAGAGAGAAAAGCAGGAGAATAACAGAGAAAGATAAGCGGGGAAGGAAGTCTGGACAAACTGGAGAGAGTCCACAGGATAGCAACACAAACGATCAAAGGTTTAGAAAACCCGACCTATGAGGAAACATTTAGAAAATGGGTATGTTTAGTTTTGAGAAAAGACGACAGTCTTCAAATGTGTTCAGGGCTGTTATAAAGAGGACGGTGATCAATTGTTCTCCATGTAGGACAAGTAGTAATGGGCTTAATCTGCAGCCGGGGAGATTTAGGTTAGCTATTAGGGAAAACATTCTAACAGTAAGGATAGTTACGTATTGGAATGTGTTACCCTGTAGGATCCCCACCCCTAGAAGTGTTTATAAGCAGACACCTGCCACAGATGGTCGAGGTTTCCTTGGTCCTGCCTCAGCACAGGGGGCTGAGCTAGAAAACAACCGCTCAAGGTCCCTTCCACCCTTAAACGTTTATGATTCTATAAAAGAACTCTGCTGCCAAGGCCAGCCTTTATGGGCCACGAGAGGAACTAGGGACTTGCTATTCTGGGAATGAGCAATCTTGTCCTTGTCATAAATCTGATTAGAAAACGGCACCGGCAGCACCTTGGAGCCTTGCATAAGGGGTTTGTTATCAGCAGTGCCACTTAGTTACTGTACAGATCATATAATCAAGAGGAAACAAGTTTAACAGCTGTTAGAAGAACAGCTGTGAAGGCTTTGAACACCCATGGGCTGGGGAGAGGTGGTACTACCCCAGCAGGGGATAGCTGAGTGAGTGACAACGTGAAGATATGATGGCACCTGTCACCCTCTGGGAAGAGGAGCAGCAGTCAGCTCGCTGACAGAAGAGTACGTCCCACAGAACATATATTTTCCCCCTGCAAATACACCCCCCGCCCTGCAAATACACCCCCCGCCCTGCTCCCACATCCAGCTCAGCCTAGTGATGGGATGAGACTGGTCCTGGCTCTGCCATTCACTTACTCTGTGGCCTTGGGAAGTCACTTAATCCACAGTTATTGAACTTAGGTGCCCACAGTTATGGATGATGGGACAGGTTTAGCTTTAACCCGTCTACCTCAGGTTCCAACCTGCACAGCCCACCTTTGCAAAGAACTTTGAAATCCTGGGCTGAAGGGCACTAGGGGAAGGGCCTTGGCACTTCCCCCCTCAGCGGCACACACTGCACTGCAGCTGATGCTAACAGCTGAGCTCCACGGGAATTGTGTGCAGTGCCATTAGTGCTTCCAAAGGGCCCCATGAATGGGTTCTGCAGCTAGACAGGCAGGAAGGGAGAATGTCCCTCCAGACGCTCACACACTCCTGGGAAGACTTGCTTCTCACTCTCAGCACTGCTACAAGAGCCTGACCTGAGCAGTAACGTGCAAAACAAGTCTGTTACCCTGGTGCAGACGGGGGCCAGGGGCCTGCCTCCCTCTCTCTACAGTCTATTCAGCCAGTGCTGGGCTTCCTCTACTTCCGTTGTGCCCTTCAGGGGCCATCTCTTCCTGGAGGGAGAGGTGCATTTGGTCGCGAGTTTCTTTTTCCATATTAACGGCTTATTGGCCACTCAACAGGGAAGAGCTCACTCTGTTCAGAGGGGAAGTTGCTCCCTGGCATCACTCGCAACCCCTCAGCAGGAGCGTACGTTCCCCCCTGGGCCGCCAGCATGCCCTGTTAGTTTTCACTCCTCTGTCACCTGCAAATGGGCATCAACAGCAGCTCTTTCTACCCCTTTATTTTTAAACTCACTGGTGTTTTCCCAGACAGGCCGAGCCAGCAGGACCATGAGGAGCTAGCCCTGCTGGCAGGATCGTGTTTTTACTGGCTGATTAAAGCCACGATTTCCAGCTACTTGGAACTTTAAATAAGCAAGAACCTTAGAGATCTCTCACGCTCATTGGTCAAATTGTCCCAGCAGAATAAGCAGCAGCTTTCCGACCGGTTTGCTCAGCCACACAAATAATTTTCTTTTGGTGAATCAGTGCTTAGCCTTGTGTGGGGGATCAGGAAGCATCTGTAAAGTGACCGTATTCGGGTGTGGTGTCCGAGATTTCTATCCACCTAAGAGAGAATGGACAGCGTCAGAGCTCTGCCTGCACAAAGCAAGGGCTTTAAAATCTCAAGGGAACAGAGAGGAAATGGCCCTGCCAGAAAAACTCCCTAGGGCCAGCCATTAATGCACTTCTCCTGTAAACCCACCCTGGCCTCCCAGCACTGACAAGGTCAAAAGCAACCTCACTCTCTTGCTTTAACTAGCGGGGCAATTGAAGGCAGACAAGCTGTTGAGGGTGCCCAAGCTCTTCCCTACAGCAGCTGCTGGAGGAAGGGGTGAAAGAGCAATATTGCGCCAAAGCTCCCAGCTCCCCGCCTCGCACCGCCGCCGGCGCTCTGTGGATTGGTGCCGACCTCTGGGGCAGCACAGGGCTCAGGAAGATATAAAGCAAGAAAAATAAACTATCATGTTTGAATGGAATGACAGCTAGTGGCTAGAGCCAGCGCAGTGCAGGCAGGCACCACATGAGCATTGCATATGTAGCTGGGACAATGTGCCTCAATCCGGAGCTGGCACAGCCCCTGCCGTTCCACTCCCAGGCCCCACATTCAGCGCTTGAAATGCAACTCCGTTCTGAGCCGCTTCCGCCCCCCACCATCCACACTCACATGGAGTGCAGGGTGTGTGTGTAGGGGGGGCTGCAATGTGGACACATAGTGAGTAGGAAGAATCCCACTGAAATCAATTTACTTGTGAGCCAAGAGAGAACTTGGCAGAGGTTTCCCCAGTTGAGATACTTGGACATCTGCCTCCTGTGGCACCAAACGTCTTCCAATTAGCAGCATTTAGACAAGCCTTGTAAAGGCCTCTCACAAGCCAGTGTCCTGCAAGGGACCCCACCAGCCACTACAGAGTCACATACAAAGGCTTTTAGACTGACTTATAAGACCAGGATCTGAGTTACCCAATAAGAGCAGCTGGAACGAGCAGAATGATTGCCCCAAAGAGAAAGGGGAATCCCTTCATGAAGTGCAGGCTTGCAGGGTAGAGAGAGTTGAACACTCCTGTGGCCACAAGTGAGCAGAGACCTTCCACGCAGGCAACAGAGGCAAAAAGAGCACCTGGAAGGACACCAAGGTCAGAGCTTAGCAATGAGGCTCCTCTTTTGGCCCCCTTAGACTGAACACACCTGACCATCTCGGTGCATTTCAATCTGGATCTTAGTAAAATATTTTCACTCAGATCAGGAGGTGGCCCTTTTTCTCTGCAGTGCAGGTGCCAAGGGCTGAGAGCAGAGACAGGCATGATGGGCCAAGTTCAGCCCGAGTGTGAGTAGGATAACTCCACTGCCCTCCATGAGTTGCACTCACCACAGTGCTGAATTTGGATGCTGCATCAGACGGACTGTAAATCCCATGAGGCAGAAACTAGCTAAATGTAAGTGCCCAGGACATTTTATCATTCAATAAATATTAAACCCAGCAGAGATACTGCAGGTTTCAGTTTATAACCTTGGAATCCAATTTACACTAGCTTCATTCTAAGAGGGGCCCACGTTAGCCGCTTGGAGGAACCAGGACTTTCATTTAATCACTGGGCTGCAAGTGACTGCACTAAGCCCCTCCTCCCCTCTCCTGACTCTGCAGTGGCATTTCCAGCCAGGTCCATGTACAGGAGGCAAAGAGGCCCGGCTTTCCCCAGTGTTATGGAGAAGGGTAACCCTACATCCTGTGGTCACATCCTTTAGTAGTGCTGAGTTCTTCCAGTTGTTGCCAGCTCACACAGGCCAAAGCCATACCGGGGGTTACTAGTGTTTCCCGAGTTTATTTTTCAACCCAGTCTAACTCCTGTTCCTGTGAAAGGTTTTGAGACCAGGGGGAGGTCATCAGTGACCCAGCCCCAAACTTTAATGTGATGCTTTTCACTTTGACTACATCTTCCTCTGCACATTTTAGTCCCAAGTAGGTTCACTGTATTGCCTAGAAAAACTGCCCACAATGACTGTCCTGCGCAGGGCCTGGGGATGTGTGCATGTGCCGGGGGGGGGAGGGGTCAGAAGAATGCAGAGATTCCCTGACCTGGTCCTTTTGGTGCCTCCTGCCGGGAGAGGCTGAGGCACACTCCTTGGGTTGTTTGGTTTTTAATGTGTCGCGCAGACATCACTAGGTTGAATGTTTCAGGGCCTGCTGTGGGTTATACTGGTTGATCACTTACCCTGATCTTTCTCATCCACCAGTTTGGACAGCTTTGCCCGGATCACTGGAGTGGCTGCCATTGAAAGAAACAGGATGCCATAACCTGTGAGTGAGAAATAAGACACATGCAGGAGGTTCTCTTATCTGTGGAATAACATTGCTAGCTTAAAACAAAACCAACCCCACAAATAAAGCACCTGTAGCTGCCAGGGAGACTGCCATCCTCCTGCCCATTAGCCCATGCGCGCCCTTCAGCCCGCCTCCTTCTATGGCCCCTTTGAGGATAGCTTAAGATACCTGGTTGGTCTACAACTGTCTGTAGTGACTCCCTCTAGCTGCAGCACCACCACCTGGTGGTGACAGTAAATACAAGGTGTGACAGGCTGGTGATCTCAGCAATTTTGGTATGTGGATACTTTGGGGACGTCTACTCTGCCTTTCTGTCTTTACAAGAGGCTGCCATCCTCTCCTCACTCCACTGGCAATTTTTAAGCTACCTGGATTTTGGGATTCAGCATCACCTGTGAACATCAGTGGCGTTGTAGAAGCAAGTGAAATCACAACCAGGCCCGAGATGTTGGAGAGCAATCCTAACTCCGCTACCCAGGTGTCTTCAAGGCACAGCTGCAGTGCCCGCAGCCCTGCCAGGCTGCTCAGGTACGTCAGGTAACTAGCCGCTGAGCCATAGCCAATCAGATCAGAGCCCCAGCAGAGAGGGGAGCTGAGTTCGTATAGGACAAAGACGTCCCTGGCTCCAAAGTGGATGGTGACAATGAGAAAGAACGTCAGAGAGTAGAGAGCGAGCTTCTGCCTGGATCTCTGGTACCCTGGGGCTGCATACAGCTTATACACAGACATATAGTGACTGAGGGTGAACAGCTTGGCCGGTTTCCTCTCCTTCACCGATTCCTGGAGACAAAGAGCAGCATAGAGGGCAGTGGCAAGACTGACAGCAAACACGAGCCAGAAGGGATTGATGTAGCCCTGAGCTTTGCGCCACTGCCCTCCGATGATGCTGGCCAGCATGCCTGCCACACCCAGGCACGCCTCCAGAATGGCGACGCGGAACGTACGGGAACGCTGGTCACTGATGTCAGCCACGTAGGCAAAGCAGCTGGCCAGGATGAGGTTGTAGTCCCCCATGAGGCCGCACAGGATGCGCCCAAGCAGGAAGTAGCCAACATGTAGCCTCAGGTACATGACAAGAAGATAGATGGCAGCCTGCAAGGCCATGCCCACGGCGGGCAGGATGAGCGCTGGACGCCGACCCACGCTGTCACTCCATGGCCCAAAGAGAGTCACCGAGAAGAGACCCACAAAGAAGCCTGCCAGGTTGATGTAGAGGTTCCAATGAGAGGCCAGGGTCTCCACTTCCTGAGACAGAAGGACAGACACAGGTTGGTGAGGCCCCGGAAGGCACAATATCTGTCCATCACGGTCTATGTTGGCACCCATGGCCTTGGGGTCTGACCCTGGCCTGCAGACACCGCCTCTTGCAGGGAGGTGCGAAAATATGGCCCAGCTCCTCCCAGCTGTGCCTGGCGGGCACAGGGGGTGGGGGGCAGCTACGTCAAACCAGCACCCCTAGTTCCAGCACCTCTGGGGCCCGCCCGCTCCCGGGCCCCCACCCCCCGGCCCGCCTCGCCTCGCCCACCTGCTGCCGAGGGTCCCCCGCGCTGCTCGCGTTGCCGCAGCCGGGCGAGCCGCTGGCCGCGGAGCCGTTGTAGCCGAGCTCGGCCCCGAGCCGCTCCCACAGGTACTGGGTGCAGAGCGGGGCCTGCAGGCCCAGCGCCACGGTGCCCAGGAAGAGAACCGGCTCCACCGTGGGGGCGGCCCGGGGGCAGCGCGGCCGCCCCCCGCCAGCGGGGCCCGGGCTGTCGGCCATAGCGGGGGCCGGCGGAGCGCGGCGCGCCGCCCGCAGAGGCAGGAGGCGGAGGAGAGGCAGGCCCCGCCCGGAGGGGACGGCAGAGGACCGGGGCCAGGGCGGCCAGACGCCTCCCCGCCAGGGCCCCCATGCCCGGCGGCCGGGGCCGCCTCCGCTGGCAGCATCCATGGGAGAGCGCGGGGCTGCCCCGCGGGCTGGGGACACAGATCCCCGGGAGATGCGCTTAGCCCTTCCCCGCAATGAACCCCCGTGCCCAGGCTCTGCCCTTGCCCGTCTCCATTTAACCCCGGCCCCTCGGCTCTGCCCTTCCGCTCCGTGTCCACGGGATCTGGGAGCACAGCTTCCACTTGAGTTAATTCCCTTCGTCTCCTTCTCCCCTCCCCACCCTCCTGGGAGCGAGGGCAGTTCAATGAATGGGGGCCAGGGGTCATTTCCTCCAGTTTTTCCCCTTTACTGCTCTTCACCTGCTCAAACCTCCCTCAGCTTTGGAAAAGTTTCAAAGTAGCCAAAGGGGAAAAAAGGGAAAGTGAAACTAACACCCCCCTAAACCTTAGACATTCATTCTGTTGAATTCGGGGGGGGGGGGAATAGATGTCAGCATTTCTGGTTTTGACAAAGGAACACACAAGTTTTGCTGAAAACAAAAGCTTTGCAAAAGTCTTGAGTTTCGAAAAAGGCTGTTTTTAAAATGGGGGAGGGGGGAGTTGTAAAGAATAAATTGCACTCAGCTCCTATTATCTGATATGGCAGCCAGCAGCAAGCTGTGTGAGCTCTTCCAGTCAAGGCACGATTCCAGTTCCATAGGGTTCAGAGTAGCAGCCGTGTTAGTCTGTATCCGCAAAAAGAACAGGAGTACTTGTGGCACCTTAGAGACTAACAAATTTAGTTCCATAGGGGTAGAGCCTGCAGAGCAGGGGTGAAAATTCAAAAGCACCTAAGAGAGAAACACCCAGGTCCAGACCCATAAAGGTATTCCAGTAGAAGTTAGGGCCTAAATATCTTTGGGGATCTGGGCCCCTCTGATTTTGGAATCTGAGGGGGAAGGGGAATGTTTAAGGCCATCAAATCAAGGAACTGTTCCTGGTAAGAACATGTGCAAGTGTTCTGAGGATCAGGGCCTAATTTACATGACATTACACATGTTGGAATTGGCACTGTGTCTTTTTTGGGCAACAAATACTTAAACTTATGCCATGAAACTTCCTCTGTATTTTCTCCTTCCTATTAGTTCATAAGCTAGTTTTGAAGAACACAGGTTCAAAATAAAAAACCAAAGCCTGTTATAGATTTTCTTACAAATTGAGGGCCTAAACTAGTGATCAACACAAGAAATCCAAGTGACTTCAGTGTGTTTCTGACCATTTGCGGGACTGGGCCCTGTCTGGTGATGAACTAATTAATCTTGAATGAGTTCATGAATCAACAAGAAGTGAATTTGCATGTTTTAGTGATGAAAAAGTTAAGTTTTACCTTGGCCAGGTTTATGATTAAATGATTAATCTTCAACAAGCTGGTGATGAAATGTTTTACAATGAATGTGTTTGTTACAGGCTAGCTATCAGGTTAATGACCATGACAATAAAAAAAATCTGTTTCAGCAATTTTACCACAACTGATATAACTGTGTTTGCTTATGAAGACTTGCTGTACTTCATGTACTTCTTGGTGGCAAAAATAATTTATGTTGCAAAGCTAAGGAGATGGAACTTTAAGCATTCACATTTTTCTATTTCTTATAAACAGAATCACTGAACTTACTGTTGTGTCACTACTTACTTATAACATAGCATTCAACGACAAAGAATCCTGTGGCACCTTATAGACTAACAGACGTACTGGGGGAGCATAAGCTTTCATGGGTGAATATGTCCGACAAAGTGGGTATTCACCCACGAAAGCTCATGCTCCAATACGTCTGTTAGTCTATAAGGTGCCACAGGACTCTTTGTCGCTTTTTACAGATCCAGACTAACACGGCTACCCCTCTGATACTTGATAGCATTCAACCACATTCCCATTAGTGATTGATGAATACATTTAAGATAAACTGACAATTTATTAAAATGTTTTCCCCGTAAGGTTTTCTCTCTTCTCAAAGAACAGTTGTAAAATAAAGTTATAGTTAATAATTGAACAAAAGTCTGGAAAGTCAGATTGTTGTTAAGGTTATTCAGGAATAATTTCAATTAAAATGTAATATGTTGGGATTTCCTCTGAGACCTTTTCCATTTGGCGTGTCCCAAACACCTTGTCTAGTACTGGGAGAACACATCATTCCAAAACATTCAGTTTGACTCTGGATTTTGTCACTCAGGTTCCTTATTTGGCATATAGCAAAGCTACGCTGAGTTGATCAGACTCAAGCACAGGGGGTGGGTATAGGGCATTCCACACATCCAAAGTTACAAAGATAACCTCTTCCTTTACATACATTTCTATGTTACATTGCATTTGCTGGACATGACACCACACATTTTTGGACTGGATCGGTTACTTTGCAGGAGCCAATCCCATACAGTGTGCTCTGTCCATATGCTGTTCGTGTGGAACCTGATCTTTATATTCCACATTTATCTTGTCCATAGTCCCTAGCATCAAACCGTTGCTTCTTGTCTAGCTAGCACAGAAATCCTGGACTCCAGCACACTGTTTGTCAAGCCCTGTTTACAACTTAACCTTCCATTCACCTTCCCAGTTATGCCCACTAAGAAATGAAGCAAGTTAGGCCTACAAGCCAGGCCTACATAATATGTGAAATTATTTTTAAAGGCTGAAAATAACGTAGCAACTTTAACTTGTAGCCATTTTTGGCTGAGTTACTTTCATTCATCTTCCCTCCAGCCTGGCTGTATCGGAAGATATTTAAACCCGTTTACCTGGAGAATGCTGTATTTCAGGAAAGTAAAAAATGCTGGGTCCTTGAAAGCTGAGGAAAGCTCAACTCAGAGCAATGTACTGTCTGTGTGCAGACTCTTGCATAGTGCACATATAAGTTCGCTGGAATGGTTACCCCATGAGTCTGCACAGCAATTCACAATGCAGGAGGAAGGCAAGCTGGTTTTTAGGCCCTCTGTCCCTCTCAGAAGAGCATTTTGCTGGGTCCTTTGCGATCATCTGACATTTCAGACTCTGGCCTTTAGATTAACATTACTGTGACCTGTTTTGCTCTCTAGTTTATGTAACTGGGCCAGATCCTCAGCTGGTGTAAACTGTTGTTGCTCCACTCAAGTCAATGAATATGTGCCAATTTACACCTGCTGAGAATCTGGCCCACTGTATTCCTTCCCACCCCCCATGGGGTCTCATTGGTGCTGCTGAATGCTAATCCCCTCAACTACAGGTCAAAACACCCAGGCCCTAGACTAGAGCTAGGGCAAGCCCCTTTTGTCCTTCACTTCGGGTGGATGACATTATTGCTGGAGATGTTCATCCTCCAAAAGAGCCTGATATTTACAATTCTTGTCCATGTTTGCTACAGTATTTTTATAGTTTCAGCAACTAGAATGGAGAGGAATGCAAGGCCAGGCAGAGTCTATCCTGAGCCCCCAGCTGCGACACAGAAATAGTAGGTTATCCTTCTTTTGAGGGAGAATAATGTTTGTGTGTCTACCCCGCTGTTGCTTTCCCCAGGAAGCATATGCAGCTTTTACCCACTAACCACAAGCTCTGGATGGAGAGAGCTGCAGGACCCCTAATTCCACTACTGCCAAATGGCATCACTAACTCATCTCTCAGCAGGCAGACACCCATGTACGGCACCTCGTCTCAGCCAGAAGAATTGTGGGAGCTTCGGTGGAAATGAGGAATGGAAATGGAGCTTCCAGGGATGTGTGGCTATGGAGGAAGAAGAAGAATTTGTAAGCTGAGGTCTTTTTGCACTGTCATTTCTGTCCCAGAGACAGGCCTGTAGCTGAGGGCTGACTTCCCACTAGCCACAGAGAGCTGGCAATAAAACTCCCTTTTGGAGTCTGATTGCAAATTTAGGAAATAAAAGCATAAAGTACTATAATGAAGAAAAATTACTTTGCCATTGACTAGTCTCTTGGTTTATAATACATTAAAAAAAAATAAAGTGCCCCTCTTCCCCACCACCAATGCACTCAGATACTGTACACAGGGGTTCACAACCTTTTTCTTTCTGAGGCCCCCCAAACATGCTATAAAAACTCCACAGCCCACCTGTGCCACAATAACTGGTTTTCTGCATATAAAAGCCAGGGCTGGCATTAAGGGGTAGCAAGCAGGGCTGGTGCCCAGGGCCCCATGGCACAGGGGACACCGTGAAGCTAAGTTGTTCAGGGCCCCAGGTTTCAGCCCCATGCAGTGGGACTTCAGCTGTCTGCCCTGGGCCCCAGCGAGTTTAACACTGGTCCTGCTTGGTGGATCCCCTGCAACCTGCTTGTGGCCCCCCAGGAGGCTCAGGACCCCTGGTTGAGAACCACTGCTGTACAATACTTCAGGGTAAGAAGATGCTGAAGTGTACGGATGATAGTTCAGTCTAAAGCCCTTCCTAGGAAGATGGAGATGTTAAAACTCGGGACTATTGATTATTTAACACAATGGGGTGTTCCTCTTGCACACACTGAGTCTGAATCAAGGGAGCAATCTGACTCGCTTTTCTGCAGCTCAAAGCGTCCATCAGCCCATTGTAACTGCCCTAGGGGGATTCTTTGTTGAGGGATCCTTTGGTAGTGGTGAGCCACTATGACAGTTCTTATGCCACCCTCTGCGCCTGGCCATTGGCTGATCCAGGAGTCCCTTGGAGCCACGGGCAGAGGGCAGGTTGGTCTAAATTAAGGCAGGGATGGGGTCAGCTGCAGTTTAAAACTGCCTCTATCTGCATACCCACTCTTGGTCCTACACTGAGCACGGCTTGGCCTGAGCAAAGACTCTGGCCCTGTATTTTCCTAAATGCAGATTCGGTTGCAGTTCCATGATCAGAACATTCTTATTCACTTTAATTGCTATCAACTGTTACGTAAAGGGAGGTATGAGATTTTTTAAAAAATCCTGTTTCCATTATGAACTGTTTGTGTGGTAACAATGTCCCTCTGTATTTATCAGCTGCTTGCCCCTTATTTATGGCTGTTGCTATACATGGACTTACACTGAATTGAAATTCATTTCTTCTTGTCCTTAGAACTTCCTCTCCACTGCACTTGTGCTTTCTGCATCTTCCATCCTGCTTATGAAATCAGGCTGTTTTCATAATGTAAGTGAAGTAGGCCTCGTCTATATTACATCAACAGCCACCATATTTCTTTGGGCAATTGAAGTTTTGAAAAAAAAATGACAAATGACTGATTACAGGGTCTGGAAACAGGGGTGAAAGTAACTTACAGGATTTACTAGTACGGCCAGAGTCCTGAGTGGGGGCATTGCCTCACCCGGAAGAGGCGTGGCCTCAACCAGAAGAGGCGTGGCCTCAACCAGAAGAGGCGTGGCCTCTCAGGATTTAAAGGCCCTGGGGCACCGGCTGTGGCTGGGAGCCCCAAGGCCTTTAAATCACTCCAGGGCTCCCAGCTGCAGAGGTGGCTGGGAGCCCCCGGGGCTCAGGAGCAAATTAAAGGGCCCGGGGCTCTGGCCGCCGCGGAGCTCTGGGCCCTTTAAATCCCGGCCCCAGCCCGGCAGCCACTACCCAGGGCGGGGGGGGGCGGGGAGGGATTTAAAGGGCTCAGGGCTCCCAGCAGCGGCCAGAGCACTGGGCCCTTGAAATCCCCGCTGCGGAAGCCAGTGCAGTCCGGCACGGCGTACTGGCTCTTGCCGGTACGCCGTACTGGACCGTAGTGGCTTACTTTCACCTCTGTCTGGAAAGTAATCTCATAACAGTAGTAGGTCACTGATTCTTTCAGAGCATTCACACATTGGGCTTGTAAATTGCACAATGAGATTGTAACTGTGCTGGGTAATGTAGTTATTTAACATCTGCCATCTGAGGATCTTAGAGCTTTATACAGATATTATTAATTAATTCAGCCTCCTGCCTCATATTCCTCATATTACCAGGATGCTGCATTGCCTCCAAGAGCTTAGAACAAAACTGAGGTATCCTGACTACCAGTGCCCTGATTCAACCATGAGACTGTCCTGCAGTGACATGATCATTTTCTCTCCAGTGACTGGGTGAAAAAAAAAAGGCAAGATTAAAAACCCACCTTCCCTTTTGGGCTTCTGAAAAACTATGCGATTAGTTCACAAGAGTGACATTTTTAAGAAGTAACGCTAGAACTCAAAGAAACTGAAAGAACTCAAATGTGAAATTGCGGAACTAACAACTAAGGTTTGTAACCTGTCCTTTAAATTGGCGTCTGTACCCAATGACTGGAAGATAACTGGAAGAACGCCAATATTTAAAAAGGGCTCTAGAGGTGATCCCGGCAATTACAAACTGGTAAGTCTAACGTCCGTACCGGGCAAATTAGTTGAAACAATAGTAAAGAATAAAATTGTCAGCCACATAGAAGAACATAACTTGGGCAAAAGTCAACATGGTTTCTGTAAAGGGAAATCATGTCTTACTAATCTATTAGAGTTCTTTGAAGGGGTCAACAAACATGTGGACAAGGGGAATCCAGTGGACATAGTGTACTTAGATTTCCAGAAAGTCTTTGACAAGGTCCCTCACCAAAGGCTCTTACGTAAATTAAGTTGTCATGGGACAAGAGGGAAGATCCTTTCATGGATTGAGAACTGGTTAAAAGACAGGGAACAAAGGGTAGGAATAAATGGTAAATTCTCAGAATGGAGAGGGGTAACTAGTGGTGTTCCCCAAAGGTCAGTCCTAGGACCAGTCCTATTCAACTTATTCATAAATGATCTGGAGAAAGGGGAAAACAGTGAGGTGGCAAAATTTGCAGACAATACTAAACTGCTCAAGATAGTTAAGACCAAAGCAGACTGTGAAGAACTTCAAAAAGATCTCACAAAACTAAATGATTGGGCAACAAAATGGCAAATGAAATTTAATGTGGAAAAATGTAAAGTAATGCACATTGGAAAAAATAACCCCAACTATACATACAATATGATGGGGGTTAATTTAGCTACAATGAATCAGGAAAGAGATCTTGGAGTCATCATGGATAGTTCTCTGAAGACGTCCACAAAGTGTTTGGTGGCAGTCATAAAAGCAAACAGGATGTTAGGAATCATTAAAAAGGGATAGAAAATAAGATGGGGAATATCTTATTGCCCTTATATAAACCCATGATATGCCACATCTTGAATACTGCGTACAGATGTGGTCTCCTCATCTCAAAAAAGATATACTGGCATTAGAAAAAGTTCAGAAAAGGGCAACTAAAATGATTAGGGGTTTGGAATGGGTCCCATATGAGGAGAGATTAAAGAGGCTAGGACTTTTCAGCTTGGAAAAGAGGAGACTAAGGGGGGATATGATAGAGGTATATAAAATCATGAGTGGTGTGGAGAAAGTGAATAAGGAAAAGTTATTTACTTGTTCCCATAATATAAGAACTAGGGGCCACCAAATGAAATTAATGGGCAGCAGGTTTAAAATAAATAAAAGGAAGTTCTTCTTCACACAGTGCATGTCAACCTGTGGAACTCCTTGCCTGAGGAGGTTGTGAAGGCTAGGACTATAACAGGGTTTAAAAGAGAACTGGATAAATTCATGGAGGTTAAGTCCATTAATGGCTATTAGCCAGGATGGGTAAGGAATGGTGTCCCTAGCCTCTGTTTGTCAGAGGGTGGAGATGGATGGCAGGAGAGAGATCACTTGATCATTACCTGTTAGGTTCACTCCCTCTGGGGCACCTGGCATTGGCCACTGTCGATAGACAGGATACTAGGCTGGATGGACCTTTGGTCTGACCCAATGTGGCCGTTCTTATGTTCTTATGTAATCGGTGAGTTTAATGGGCCTGCTAATTTCTGTGGAAAACTCCCAAAACTCATAATTCCTCCAGACACAAAATACTTTCCAATAAAACAAATGTTGGCAATATTACTATAGAAACACAACATTAATATCAAGGCAGATGTGCATAGGATACTATTTGGAGAAAATCACTAGATTAAAGAATGATAGGTTGCTTGATTAAGCACCAAAGTGAAGATTAATTCTGTTCACATGCATTATGATATAGTCTTTAATTACATTGTCAGACACTTATCAGAGGGATAGCCATGTTAGTCTGGATCTGTAAAAAGTGACAAAGAGTCCTGTGGCACCTTATAGACTAACAGACGTATTGGAGCATAAGCTTTCGTGGGTGAATACCCACTTCGTCAGACGCAGGCTGACGTCAGACGCATTCATATCCTGTATGAACTGTTGCTAGTCATGCGTCAGACACATTGTCAGACACTGATTCTCAAACAATGGAAGTGAATATTATACAATTTTTTCTACAATCTTGCTGAAATCTTGGATTCATGTAGTTGTGTGTCCCACTCTGTATCCCAGACAGTGTCCATGAGTGGTGATTACAAGATATGCAGTCATTAAGACAGGGCTCCTGCAGCTGTGTTACACTTCAAGTGCAAGTTCATGAATCAATGACTGATTTCTAGAGCTTGTTTCTCTCCTTGGCCTGCTGCGCATTGTATAGTCCACCTTTACTTTACTGTAGTTACAAGTTAAGATTAATTGCTAAGGAATGTTATACAAAGCTGTAATCATGTGTCCGTTATTGAGCTCAGTAAAGCAACCAGGCATATACCCTGGAAGGAAATTTACATTAGTGCAGACAATATCTATTTGCAGGTACTTTATAAAACAGATAAATTGAAATGGATATTTATGTCACTATATACACACAAGAGGAACAATGAAATCAATGCAAAGAGCCTTTACCTGTGTTACGTCTGTTTATTGTGTATTCCACCAAGAATTCCTGTTGCATGCGCTGACATTACAAGAGATTACTCTAGCATCATTTTAAGGTATGAAATGTTCCTTTGGGTCCCTCTTAACCTCATCACCCAAGAAAACAAAAGTTGACAGAGGGTTTTCTGCACAATAAGTACAACAATGGCACTTATCCTTTTCAGAATCTGAGTTGCGGGAGTCCCTCTGAAGGCAGTGAGGTTCTTGTGTTTGATTTTCCTCAGTGTCTTTGCACATTGGATTTTGGGTTTCATGACATTATTTGTAGCTGTTTTGCTGGTGCCAGAACTGTACTAATGCTTCAGGCCTTACTTTAGGAAAGTCTGTGCTTATGTCTATCCCTATTCAGAACAGTACTGAAGCATGTTCAGTGGGACTTAAGCACATACTTAAATTTTGGCATGTGCTTCAGTGCTGTCCCAAATAGGGGTGCTTTCTGGAATCAGGAACTCAAATTGGTCCTCCGTTTCAGATGTTGCTTTTGTGGCATGGACCTCAATATCCACTATCTTGAGCTGGCTTTTTAAGGAAGACACATCTGCTTTTGGCCACATTTCTGTGTCACTGTGTTTCATCAATTATATTGTGAACAAATAGAAAAGCGTTCCTCTATTAGCATCGTTTTCAGAGACAGTCAACATTTCAACTTGATAGACCCCAAAATGCCATTAAAGAGCAAGTGTCCACAGTGAGGTGGAAAGAATCTGAGACTGAAGTCTTTTAAGATCCCAGACACGCCAGCCTTGTGATTTACACAGAGCACTGACCACATTTATATTCTGTATGAACTGTTGCCAGTCACGTGGCCTTTCTGAAGCATTCTTGCAGCGGTGGCAAAGACATTTGAAGAAGACTGCACACTGAATCCGGCACCTGGAAGCTGTGGGGTTTAAATGAACGGCTTCACAAGGACTCCAAGTTTCCCTGAATCTGTTTTGCGTAAGGACTTGTCTACATTAAGTAATATTATTGTGTTTCCTTTGAATGTGATTGTGAAGAATCAACTTAGCGACAAGTTGCTGGCCATGATTTGTCGTGGTGTGTGCTGATGAGCCTCTCCTGGCCAGCACCATGCCAGATAAGTCTTGACAACCTTCTTCAGACATGATTGAACGTTATAACGTAGACATGTTAGTCTCAGTAATATTGTTCCTAAAGGGCTCCCTGACGACATCATCTTCTTCCACTGTTGGTGATACCATAGTAGGGACCAGCTTGCTATCAACAGTTCCATCCATTTCTTAGTGAGATCAATGTGAAGTCTGTCTACACAAGGCCTTAGTCCGCACTAGCTGGGCTGTTAATTCTAGTGCATGCTAGCACGTTGTGCCCTAACTGGCCTGTGTGGTCCCTGCTGAAGTTCCCTAGTGCACATTAATATACTCCCGTTTCAAACAGTGCTGGGTTAATGTGCACATTGGAATGTATGTCCCAGCCAGTGCAGACTAAGGCATTGTGTAGAAAAGCTCCTAGTGCATCTCCTTTTTTGTGAATTTGGCCCCAATCCTGAACGTCTAATTCCAGGCCAACAGCTCAGGGGGAGGTTCTGCGTGAGTGAGGAGTTCAGATCTGGGTTCTTGTGAGGTGACATCACCTGACCAGAGTAGGGGCAGCATACTCCGCTGGTGTAAGCTGGTGCCACTCTAAAAGTAAGTAGAACTGTGCTAGTTTACACCAGCAGCAAATTGGGCTCATTTTGTGGTTTAATTACTGTAGAAACTTTACAGCTTAATTACCTGATGCAATAATTACACCATAAAAGGAGTTCAATTCTCTTCCTAGGATCTGAGGTCAGAAGGCTGGGATCTCTGCAGTCTCCCTCTGTAGCCCCATGCCTTGTTTACAGCACACAAAACTGCTATGTGGGGGATCTGGGCTCCCTGCAGACATCTGCACTCCCACTCATCAACTGCAGGGCATTGTGGCCGTGCCAAGAACGGCCCTGATGGAGATGGTGGGTCTGTAGGACCTAGTGCTCCTGCTCCCAGAGCGCTAGGGCTGGAATTCCATCTCTGATAGGGTTAGGGCTTCTGGTCATTTGAATTTTGCCCTGGTGGTTTTTGCTGTCACAAAAAAGCCTGGATGGAATCCCAGCTGCCTTAGTGTTTGAGGGAGAAGCCATACTTTCCTGAACTCCAGCTGGAGTATTACATACATGGATATGCTCCCTAATCATTTGAAGTATTTTATTAAAACAAAATTCTGAGCTGACTGTAGAAGGATTCTCACCTTCTGTAGGATTCTCCCATTCAGGGACTAACATTTTATTATGAAAGATAGGAACGTTAGCTGTCTTTGTCAATTCAGATTGACTGCTGGCAGAAAAGTGAGCACATATGTTTTGCAGTAGGATATTTGAATGTGCTCATGACCACCCTTCCCTTTGTAGTGACGTGAGACTGGTTGGGCCACAAGGGGTTAATTCTCTGCTGAATTTATCAAGCATCAGAAAGATTTCCCTTAGAAAGTTCCTGGTCTGTCCTTCCTTCTCTGTCCCCTCCCTCCTTTGTTCTCTTTTCTCTTTCACTCTGATCACGGTTCTAAAAACAACTCCTACCTGCCAAGGTCAATGTTTAATGTTTCAGAGCCTTTATATAGTCCCCATGAACAGACCTGTGCATCTTTCAGCACTGGGCTAGTTCAGCACCATGACTACTGTGTGGAAAGTGATTGTGGCCCACAGGAATTACCTGATTGCTTTCCTAGTACCTTTTCTGCTTCTTCCTCTCCCGCTGGTCGTTCCTACCAAGGTAAGAACTCTTAACTGCACTCAGAAACTCCGAGTTATTTGGAAAGCACTGCTTCTTGTACATTACAAAACCAAGCGGGAACCACAGGTCCGTTCCCTGATTAACTTCCATTGTGTCTGAGCTGGACAGTTACCTTTCCAGCTAAGTCCCCTTAGACCACTAATGGGGCACCTGGAATACTACAGCAAGGAGAGCCTCACTGGACAGTCTATCATGAAAATGTGTCACTGAATTACCGTAAAAATGTAACTTGCTTCAGATGATGGCCCTGATTCAGCAAAGCATTTTTGCACATGCTTAAAGTCCATACCTGTGTGCCTAACCTTAAGCACATGCTTAAATGGCTCCTGAGTTGAAGCTTATATGCTCAACTTTTAACTTCCCTCCTGATTTTCTCAAAAAAATCCTTTTCTGCTACTTTTCTAGTGTTGTCTTGAGACAGAGGAAACAATGTCAGGATTATTTGTTTTATATGTCAACAGGACAAGGCATTTCTGAGCTATGGGACAAAAATAAGGTGTGTTTCACTTTTTTAAAAGTTTTGAAACTTTTTTCCTTATGGAAAATAGTTTTTAAAGAATGATTTGGTTTAGAATCTTCAAAAGTCTTGTGGGACACTTAGCGTTTATGATTACTTCTGACAAAGGTAAGTTCAAATGTTGGAATTAGTCACTATAGACTTTTAAATTCTGATCATGCCAAGATATTCCATTGGACTTTAAAATCTCTGCCAAAAGTCTGTTAGAGTTTAGAAGATCTGCTAACAGAGTGCAGCCACCATCCAGTATTTACACACTGTGAAACGAGCTGCACTGGTTCAGAGACTACAAACTCTGCTGGCAGGATTTGATTTGGATACTCCTTTGTCTTGTGTTTCAGTCACACCTATGTGGTGCAGGGATGGTATTATCCCCATTTTACAGATAGCGAGCTGAGGCACACAGATTAAGGTTAAAAATTCCACTAATTTTGGGTGCCCAATTTGAGACACCAGGGACCTGATATTTTTGAGAGTACTTAGCATTATATTGACTTTACATGTTTAAAGCACAGCTCCTATTGACTTCCGTTGCAACTGTGAGTTTTCAGCATTGCTGCAAATGAGACCCCAGGCTATCAAGTTGGGCCCCCAGAAAATGAGAAACATACAGTTACTGACCCTCTGTGAAAAGTTTAGTTTCAGTTATTTGCCCAGCATCACACTGGGATTCTGTGGCAGAGGCAGAGATAGAATCCAGTTCTCAAGGGTGGCATTTAACTGCCTAACCATGAAATAATCCTTTGTCTCATTCACTACACGCCTTCCAACTTCTGCAACAAAAGAGGCAGGGTCCTAGAAACATACTCCTCCACTACACAGCCCTGATTCACCTCCAGAGCACAGTCTGTCCTACACACTAAATGAGTTACGGATCCTGTGGAAAAATCGCATGTGATCATGTAATTAGACTTCATCATAATGCATATACATCAGGGGGCTGAATGAAGGTTGCATATGATAACTTCCTAACTGTTGAGTGCTTGACTTTGTAAACTTAACATTTATTCAGATTTTTGAGTAATTTCCTGGGTTTTTAAAAAATCAAATTGAAAAAACCCCCATAAATTCCATCACGTGGCATCATATTGGCACCCACATGAGTTATGAGCAGGGTTGGAACCTTTAGATCCATGGCACAGATCTCTGCAACTGAAGCAAACGAAGTAACTGACAGCAACAGCAGCAGTAGGTTGTCATCCTCTCTGCGGACCAGCACAGAGGGAGATGAGACATACACGTTGCCAGTGGGTTTCACGGATTTGCTGGCAGCAGAGGAATGATGAGACTCAGGAATCTTGGTTCCATTCGGATTTTCAAGGGACAGCACAAGGCACAGCCCGTGAGACAAATGCCAAGTTTCAGCTTCCTGCTCCAAAGTGGGGGGGGGGGGGGAGGGGAAAGCGCTAGAGCTGTTCAAAAATGGTCTCAAGAATTTTTAACATGGACAAAAAATGTATTTTCCCCGAGCCTTGTTCTCAGAAATGGCTGACTCATCTTGGCTGAAATTTTACACAAAACTTCAGCCCGAGGCAGACAGCTGGCATGTAAAATTTCAGCCCAAATGGTTGAAGTTTGGCAAAGTTATGAGCAACTGAAAACAGGGTCTTATAATGGGATGTGGTGCACAATCTTAATAGTAGCAGGTGCCAGCAGTCCTGCCTATAATCATATATTTAAATACTTTCTTTAAAAAGCTAAAGAAATTCACAGACAAAACATTGTGTATACAGTTTGGCTCTAATTTAATACCGTTGCATGGAAATAACATTATTAGATGTTGCAATGATAAAAATAAAGTAAATGCTTGGAAGTGTAGAAACTCAAAGGTCCGGATGTGGAAGCACCCTTAACTCTAACTCTGTCAACACCATTCCTCTCCCTGTCCATCAGCACTCTCTTTCCTCAGCCACCAACCTCCTCCATATTTCCAATATGGACCATAAGCTATCAACTCCATCTGGTAAAATACAATAATGATATAAAGAACCAGAGCTCTTCAGTTATCTGAACATTGGCATTATGAGATTCTAACCCCAGCTCACCAGAAATCCCAGCAACCACTATACTGTAGATACAGATTTCCACCAGCACCTCCAGCACATATGGGGCACTGCTCCCAAACACAGACACAGAAGTAGTTCCGCTGCCTGTTAACAGCAAGAAACACCAACCTTACACTTCAGATACTGCCACATACAGTCTAGAAACAACAGTGGATACTGCGCACACCCCAACCCCCAACGAAGGCAGTGGGAGCTGCAAGCGCTCAGCCTCCGTTAGGGTCAAAGGCCAAGAGGCAGGGCCCTGTGTATTCCACAATTTTGTGACCAGGGAATTCACTCCTGGCTGCAGAATCTCAGCTTATGGGAGAGACTTTCAGTGCCCAAATGGGTATTAAGTGCTTGATTCCCATTGATTTTCAATGGCAGTTGGGTGCCTACCTTCTTTTTGTGCCTTTGAAAATATCCTCTGATGTTTATTGCCCTTATGGTGGCAGAGATAACCTTAAAATGTGAACAGATTGCAAACTGATGCAATGTTGCCTGCCTGAGTCTGCAGACATCCTGAAACAACATATCTGAGCAGTGTAACCTGTCCCATTCATCTCAGTCAAGGCCAGAGGGACTCTAACTCTTATTCCATGGGTATAAAACTCTAAATGTTGATGCAGGCAGGCATCTGGCATTTTGTTTTCTGTTTCCCTACCCCACTGAGATCTGTCCTCCAGCACTCCCCAAAGGGACATGCTCCCTGCACCGTTGCATAGAATCAGGAAGCAGGCCGTCAAGGAGCCAGACCTGAAGTTCAGCTTGCAGTGAGGTGGGGCCGCCAGAAACACAGGCTGGCCAGCCTGGAGAAAGGTGCAGCAGAAGACGCCCAGTAAGCTGCTGCAGCTGGCTACAAGCTCCCCTCCTTTCCTGGCACACATGATGGGAAGGAGTTCCCTAGCCAGATCACCTAGGCATCATGAAGGGAACCAAAGCCCAGGGAGTGGAGCTGGGCTGGAAAGCAGAGTGACAAACCTGTCCTTGAAAAATCATTTCTGCCAAAAACAATCATTCACAATTTTTACACAAAGAGTATTTTCAACAATGAGCTATAGTTATGTGTGAGTAGGGGAGGTTGTGATGAGGGAAATGGGAATGAAAGGTATTTCATGGCAATAGACTAGATTAACATTGCTTCAGAATTTGGTCCCCTCATGCCACAGAGTACAAGGGGCCCTGCCTGTAGCCAAGCATTTCAAAAGTGATGATAGATTCTTAGAGTTTAATGCCAGAAGGAACCATTAGATCATCTAATGACCTCCTGTATATCGCAGGCCATTAAATTTCATCTAGTTACCGCTGTACTGAGATCAATGACTTGTGTTTGACTAAAACATATCTTACAGAAATGTATTTAGTCTTGATTTGAAGGTATCAAGAGAGGGAGAATCTACCGTTTACTTGAGTAGCTTGTTCCAATGGTTAATCACCTCAACTGTTAAAAATGTATGCCTTATTTCTAATTTGAATTGTCTGGCTTCAGCTTCCAGCCACTGGTACTTGTTCTGCCTTTCTCTGCTAGATTGAAGAGCTCTTTAGGATCTGGTAGTTTCTCCTCATGCAAGTATTTATGAACTGTAATCAAGACACCTCTCAATCTTTGTTTTGATCAACTAAACAGCTTGATCTCTTTAAGTCTCTCCCTGTGTAAGGCATTTTCTCCAGCCCTCAAATAATTTTTGTGGCTCTTTTCTGCACCCTCTCTGATTAAAGTTTTTGGATGTCCAACCTGAGACACCTCAATGGAGCCTGATTTTCTGAAGACAGGCACTCAGCTCTCTCTGAAAATCATGCTCCTTGAACATCTCACCCAAAATCACTTGTCACGTTCGCAAATTTTGGTCAAAGAACCAGTCTGCATCTTTTACTCTCCAAAATATGGACTCAGTGGAATATCCCACATACATGTAATCCTCTGACATGATTCGGGTGCGTCTGCAGAGAACAGGTGGTCAGGATACAGGGTCAGAGTTCAGGCCGTGAGGAACCTTAACTTTCAACTATGTATATATAATTGTAGTATTTTAATAATGCTTTATTTTTCTTATTAGTATTACAGTAATAGCTATTTACAACCACAACTAACTGAATCATGGTTTTGTCAGCAAGTATTCTGTAGGTCTGATTTCTCAGTCATTTGCATGCCAAGATTTTTGATTGTTATTATTTGCATTGCAGTAGCCCCCAGAGGCCCAGTTGGGGTCTGGGCCCCGTTGTGTTCGGCACTGCATAAATACAGACAAAGCAGTGCTCCCTGCAGTCTTGGGGATCCCTGCTCTGGGACAGTATAAGACACAAAGATGTAAAAGTATAATGGAAAGAAGACACATAATACATGACTACGTAAACGTTTTTCTAACAGTGTAAAGAGAAGTAGAAAAAAAAGTAGTTACTGAAATTAAATGGGACTTAACTCAGATAACTGCTTATGTGGCTGGGGAGTGGGATCCAGAACTTTTCACTACTAAGTCACGGCTTCAAACCCAGCCAAAGTTGGTTGTCCTGGAAGTTACCATTTTATCAGGTCACTTGTGGAAAGATTTGGTGGATCTCAATTCAGTGTCACAAAGGGCACCAACTGCCATCTATCTGGTGTTCAGCAGAGGCCAAGGACTGACTAGGCCATGGAGAGAGACAGAATATTTCTGACGCTCCAAGTCTAAACATGGCCTTTACAGGTTAAGACTGGGCACACTGCTGGGCCACATGGAAGAAGCTTGCACTCTTACATTGGCCCAGCGGTGCATCTTCAGTGTACAGGGCTGTCAAGCTGACACCTTACACTAAAAGGAAAAAAAAAAAGCAAGGGGAAGGAGCAGGACACATAATGCCACACTGAGATGTCTGATCCCTCACAATTAACCAGCATACCTTCTCTAGTAATTAACTTGCTCCATTGGGAGATATGGATGGGGCCCTGAGATAAACTGTTGCGTGAACAAGGGTAAAACAAACAGAATGATAAAGGCTTTGTCTAAAGCCAAAGGAAGGAGAAATTGACAAAGATAAAAAGACAAATAATCAACACCTCACAGAAACCCAGCCACCAAGTGGAGCCTGATGCCTGGAGCTTCACTAGTCCATCTAATAGGATAACCAGCTTTGACTTCGAAGGAGGGTGTAAACTTTCACACATCTCAAAGGATTATATCCTGAATGCCAGCCTGGTGGTCACGGGGTCCCCTGGAGCATGAAACGGATTCGGAGCAGTAGCAGGATGTGCAAGATCTAGAGAGGAGGGTGTGTGAATGGAGAAAGAAGTATCTCTGTCCCTGGGGATAACTGATGACTCTACTGGTTGCCAATAGCACTGATATCCCTTTTCCAGGCCTCCAGACAGTTTATATTTTTCATTTTTATAAATCCCAATGGAGTAGGATGTGGGGGACTGTTCTGAGGAGAGAGTCTAAACCAAGCCCCATAATCACTGAATTCTTCACTGTCTCTGGGTCGGAGCCGTACAATGTGAAATATTATTAGGCCCCCCCATATGCTCCCTTTCCTGTCGCTGTGTTCCTGACCAGCTTTATTGGAGGTGACCCTGTGCAGGTGGAATGTGCCAGCATCCCAGGACTTGCCAGGGATTCTCACTGACAGCTTTGCCAAGAGAACCCAGTGGCTTCTCACGGGAACACTAAATGGGAGAGATGGATTAATCAACATTGGGAAACTCCAATTAATGTTCGGCTTGATGGAATATTTAACTAGGGAACTGCACTTTTTAAAGTTTCTGTGGTTGCCACTGAATATGGGGGGCCAAAATCCATCCTTTCCTCTCCTCAGAAATCCATCTCTTCCCCGCCCATTCCTACTGCTGAAACCCTTATCCAGGACCTGGTAATCTCTACCTAAAGTACTGCCACTTTCTACTCTCCGGCCTACTGAATCTCACCTTTCATCCTTCCATGTCACAAGCTCTCCATCTCGTTCCATGCCATAGTCATGCTTGCCTCTTGCTTTCCTGGGTCTTCATGGGTCTGTCCGTGCCTGCTTCTCAGCTCTTGTCTAGTGCTATTCATCCACTTGGTTCCTGTGCTCAGACCAGTCCGTCCCACTCCCTTTAGAGCATTCGCCAGAAGATCGCTGTGCTGTCTCCCACACTGCCAGATAGGTTTGAAATTATCTCCTTGATTCCAGATTCCACATAACTCTTTCCCCCTTCAAATCCCTCTGCAAACTTCCTGCTAGTCACGCTTTCCAGCATTAACCCACACTTCTGTGCCAGTCGCAGAATGAGGGAGATGTAAGCCACCTCTCCTCAGTCCCCAGCACAAGGCCTGAGTCACCATTGTGTTACCACCTGAGGAACTACACTGAAATAAATGTAGGCATGTTGTCATAAAAATTGGAGTAACGCACTGGTAAATCAGACCCCTTGTCTGGAGAGGGCACCCTGCAGCCCATGGTCTCTTCCTCTCTGCGTTATCCCACCCCCAGGAAAGAACCCCCATGCACCATGCTATTTCAGATCACCCCGAAGTCTTGTCATGAAGTCAATATGTTTAATTCAGAAGCTGGAATTGTCCAGAGCACAAGTAAGCCAAAATCCCCTGGAGAAAAAGGGTAGGGTATAAACATTGGGATTGTTTCACCGTGGGAAAGGAAGAAGCTTTTGGATAATTTTGTGGATTGCAAAGGGCATTTTACAACAATACAAATAAAAAAAAGCAATCCCAGTGATTAGGAACGGAGGTTGAACTGTGATTATAGTTTGTCAAGTAGCCTATGCAAAGGCTGTGGCTTGTTGTGAAAAATCAAATGAAAAGTAAATATATAATGATTTACAATGCTAAAAATCAAGGCTGCGGAAACCAATCAAAGTTCATCTGGGCCACTGCATGAAACACGCCGGGAGAAAAGTGAACTGGACCAATGACTAACTGAGTTGTTCAATCATTCAAAGACAGAAGTAAATCAGGGAGAAGTTGCTACCAGCAGCAAAATCAAGGAGTCTGTTAAGAACTGCCAGCCTCTTATCTGGGCAGGGTTCAAAGTCATAGAAAAAGAAATCAGTCAGTGTATAAGTTTTGCCTTTCCCTATAAAGGCTCTTCCACAAGGTCACTGTATATGCTGTCCCCTTATTTCTATCCCAGATCTCTGACAAGGTCACTGAATGCTTTGCCCTTTTCTCCATGACAGGAGGCAGATAACTGGGATCTGTTCCCCTTCTCTACCTGTGGCACAGTTGGGAGAAAGAGGCTTGAAGCAGGCCTCTGACTGAATGCCTAGTAAGAGCGTATGAATAAGCTTGTGGGCTAGTGTCTCAGTCAGCTGTGCAGTGTGCTCTGATTGTATGCGTTCTCTTTCAGGAAGCCCAATGTGGTTATGTTATCATCCTGATGGCGCTGTTTTGGTGTATGGAAGTCCTGCCATTGGGTGTTACTGCCCTCTTTCCTGTCGTGCTATTCCCGCTCATGAACATAATGGATTCGACTAAAGTAAGAGATCTGGCTCTTACCTATGTGTGTGTCCATCAATCTCTCTGTCTCGGTGTGTCTGGGTGTCTCTCATCTGGTCAGTCCACAGGAACAGGATGGTTCCAACATGCAGTGTTGAGGAGGAGGAAACTGCATGACTGGCACCCAGAGAGAAGGCTCACAGAACAAAGAATATCTCTGACCACCTGGAATGAATGCTGGGTCCAGCTCCAGAAGTGAAACCAAAGGAAAATTATTAGTAGTATTGGATGCATGTAGCCTGCATAACAGTGTCTCTGACCCTCCTTCAGCAAACGTTCTCTCTCTGACTGTTTTCTGTTTCAGGTCTGTATGGAGTATCTGAAGGACACCAACATGCTCTTCATTGGGGGGCTGATGGTGGCCATTGCTGTTGAACACTGGAACCTACACAAGCGCATCGCCCTGCGGGTCTTGTTAATCGTTGGGGTCAGACCAGCCCTGTGAGTGAGAACCTCAGAAGTGTGTGTGAGAGGGAAGAAGGGGGCTCAGTGAGAAAACCAGATTCCACCCAGGGAAGGAGTTAGGAAATCTTTTCATTCCTGATTCAGGAAAGCACCAAAGTACATGCCAACGTCCATCATTTAAGAGCTTTCTTGATCCAGGTCCTTTGTTTGCATTTGGTTCTCATCTCATTTCAGCCAGAGGGGTATGTGGGGTTGGGAGTCTCCTGGGTGAAGAGTGAGATGAGTAATGAACTCCTGTATTCTCCGATATGTACTGCAGCCAGCTCTCTTTCTTTCCCCTTTCTATATCTTGGCTGGAAGGACTGACTTAATAGGAAATATTTAACATTATGTAGCTAAATGACAGTGAGAAAGGGAACATCATAACCAGAACCATAGAAAAGCACTGTGTTAATGATTACGATCCTGGAGTGGGGACTGGAGTCTCTGTATTTAAAGAGATTAGAAAATCAGGGGCAATTTGGTTTTGAAATGATAATTGTAAGGCAAAATTACAGAGGTCTATAAAATATACAGAGAAAGCTATATGGTCCTATCTACTTTGTCCCATACCACAAGAACAAGGGAACATTTGAGGACATTATAAGACAATAGGATGAAAATAAATAAAACCCAAAACACCTTTGTGCACAGTTTGTAATCAGCTTGTGTATCTCATTGCTGTAAAATAACGTAGTAAGATCCAAAGGAGGACTAGACTTTTATATGAATCAGAACGGAATCTGCAGTGATAAGAGGTGGGATAAATTACAAAGATTATTGATCCTCAAGCTTAAGGATGTTAACTGATCACTATCTGGGCTCAAAAATAAATTATCTCCCAGGCGACAGGGTTATACGATGAGCTGTTCCCCCAGGTCACTATCACCCCAATTTCAGATCTGCTCAGCTGGGCAAAGTTCATCTCATCTTGTGTTAAGGGCCCTCTGCTCATGCATGGCCTTGGTACCATTCTGTAATGATGATCAGCGTAGGATGTACTGTACATCACAAGCCGAAAGCTCTGTGCTGCTATTCTCCCCTAGTGCTAATGGCAGGCACTGTACTTCGTTTCCTAGCAAAGAGCGCTCTCTGTCTAAGGAGATCCACCACTGGAAATGCTCACCCTGGCCATGCCCTGTACCCCAGCCCAGGACACATTAGCTAGTCAACAGCTAATTAAAGCATTTGCCCAGAGGAACAGGAGCTGACAGGACAGTCTTTATACCATAATAAAACCTATACAGAATTCCAGCCACAGCATGGAATGGTCTTCATTGTAGTCACGAATGGATCCTGCCAAACACACTGTTGCAATATGTATCTTTTTCTCCTGGAAACCTCTCCTCCTCTTTTCTCTCCATCCTCTCTTTTCGCTCCCTCTTCTTCCCTGACTTTCATCCTTCCTCCTCCCCTGAGAAGAATCCTGGGCTAGTGGTGAATTTATATGCAAACAAAATCCAGGCCATTAAGTGACTGAGAGAATTGAAGATAATTTTGTCCTTCTTTGTGTCTGTGGGGTGGGAGAGAAATGGAGCACTTTGAGGAAAGACTTTGGGCCCTTGACTTCTGAAGTGAGCTTCACATCAATCCTCTTCATTGCAGGCTAATTATGGGCTTCATGTCTGTGACTGCATTCCTGTCCATGTGGATTAGCAATACTGCCACCACTGCCATGATGATACCAATAGCCCAAGCTGTACTGCAGCAGCTGCACAAGTCAGAGCAGGAGACCAGTCCAGTGGGGCCTGTGGCTGGGAGCATCAACAAAGCCTTTGAGCTGCAGGAGGTGCCAGATAAATCAGATGCCTCTCAAGAGACCCAAAAACAAGGTACGTAGCTGTAGGTGTTTTCTTCTTTAGGAGTAATGGTGGATATGCAGGTGCCTTCTCCATCTCCACATTAGGTGCTTCTGGCCTCAACATTCATCTCTGCTTCTAAATTTTAACTTCATAAGGGAGGAAGATGTCTGTGGCATCCAGACTATATCAGAGAAGATTTCTGATATGAGAGAACTCTTTAATCTAGATAAAAAAAAGGTATAACAAGACCCAGTTGATGGAAGCTGAAGTCAGAAAAATTCAAACTGGAAATAAGGTGCAAATGTAAAGTGAGGGTAATTAATCACTGGAGTAACTTTCATAGGGAGGTATCAAATTCTCCATCACTTGGATTCCCTAAATCAAGTTGGTCGTCTTTCTAAAAATATACTGCACCTCAATCACAAATTATTGGGCTTGATACATGGATGGCAGTATGCAGTTCTCTGGCCTGTTTCATTAAGGAGGTCAGGTTGGAAGATCACAATGGTCTCCTACTGGCCTTAAAATCTCTGAATTTGTGAACAGGCAGCTCCCTTTCTTTATCAGACTTCCTCTTCTTTCCTGACCCCTTGATTCTACTCAAGTGTCCTTGAATTTGAATCACAAGCTTTTCTTAATCAGGTCCTGATGTGGGATGAGCTGCCTGTTCTCCAGTTGCCTGTGTTCCTGAATGCGTTTTCTTCTCCCACTCCCCCTCGCCCCGTTCAGACATTGCTGATTCCAGTTACTAGTGTAGCCACGTGGTGTTATCAAACATCCACATTTTGTGTATTATTCCAATGTTCTCAAAAAAAACTGTTTTGGGATTTCGTATCAATGCAAACATTAAATGGGACTGAGGCTCAGAGAACTGCCAAAGTCTGCCCTGAAATGACCATGTCTTGATACCATTCCTCACCTTGGGATAGCCTGTTGTTCCTAAACTGGGAATACTGTGTTGTGCAGGCACAACCACCTTCCCCATTCCTGTCTAGCCCAGCTTGTGTAACTCTTCTCCTGTTCCTGCCTCTGCACCCAGATAACGGACATGTGCTCACAGTGGAGGAAGAAGAGAAACTGAAAGATCTGAAGCAGCTGGAAGAGGAGAAGCACCTGACATTTTGCAAGGGAATGAGCCTCTCTGTTTGTTATGCGGCCAGTATTGGAGGGATCGCAACCTTGACTGGTACTACCCCCAACCTGGTGATGAAGGGACAGATGGATGAGTGAGTACAGAGGGGTTTGGGACTGCACCCCCAGAATTGCTGTCTGTTAGTAGTAACCTTGGGCTGGGGCTAAGCTGCAGCCAAAACAGAGAAGGAAAAAGTAAATTTGACGCCGTTCTGAGGAAGGGAGAACCCGGACAAGCTCATTTTTGGTCTGGCCCCACAGCCCCCTCTCCTCTCTGGGCCACAGATTATGAGACAGAAATGAGTGCAGTTGTTGTAGTGACATCTGTTTATACTTCCAGGCTCTTTCCTGGCAATAACAATGTGGTGAACTTCGCTTCCTGGTTCATGTTTGCTTTCCCTACCATGATACTGTTGCTGGCTCTTTCCTGGATTTGGCTCCAGATAATGTTCTTGGGATTTGAGTAAGTACTTTATGCTCATTGAAACAAATATAAATTGATGCTTCTTCCATTGATCCTGTCACAGTTTCAGAGTAACTACACCTGTATTCCCTGCTCCAGGAGTTCCCAGTCACGTTTCAGGTCTCCAGCCACCTCCTGTTTCTGGGTAGGAATCCTTGTCCAACTCCCTTCTGACCAGGGGTTTTAAGGCTGCACACTCCCTGATCTATACTGTGATCTCCTTAGCAAGCCAGTCTGCCTAAAGGTCAGCGCCTGGGCTTTGCTTTCTCTTCAAGTCTATGACCAGTTACAAGTTACCACTCAGCTTCTTCTAAGCAAGCATATTTATTCTGAATGTAAAAGCATTACAGAGAATGCATATAAATACAATAAAAGAAACTACTTGCATGGTAAAAAGCTGACCAGAGGTCACTCCCAACTTCAACATAGGGGTCATTGCCTCAAACCCCACTGCAGGATTTTCCCTGTGTTTACATGTTCAGAACAGTCTTTAGATCCAGAACCAGCATCCAGACTGAGCAGATCAGCTGTTTCTTTCTACAGCTGGGGCCTTTGATCTCCAATCTCCAGGAACTGGTAATCACCCAGCAGTCACCTTCTCCTTTGGACATAGCTTCAAAAGAGGGTTTTGCATAATCAGAGAATTTGTATTATCCACTCCCCAAGGATTCCCCAGGAAATCCACTTACCACTTACCCATACAGGTAAGAACTGCAGAGAAACAGTCAAACAAAAAAGAGTCCCATTCAGTTCCATCACATGAAGGCAAACAACTAAATAGTGACCCATTTTAAGTGCTTGTATACAAATGCTAGTAGTCTAAATACTAAGATGGGTGAACTTGAGGGCCTGGTATTAAATGAGGATATTGATATAACAGGCATCACAGAAACTTGGTGGAACGATGACAATCAATGGGAGACGGTAATACCAAGGTACAAAATATGCTCACACTCATGGGGGAGTGGCCCTACATGTGAAAGAAAATATAGAGTCAAATATAGTAAAAATCTTAAATGGACCAAACTGTACCATAGAATCTCTATGGAGAGAAATTCCCTGCTTGAATAATAAGCATAGAGCAGAAGGAATATAGTACTGACTCCCTGACCAGGATGGTGATGGGACTGTGAAATGCTCAGGGAGATTAGAGAAGCTACAAAAAAAGAAAACGCCAAAATAATGAGCGATTTCAACTATCCCCATATTGACTGGGGACATGTCACCTCAGAACAGGATGCAGAGATAAACTTTCTAGAATCATTAATGACTGCTTCTTGGGGCAGCTAGTCCTGGAATCCACAAGGGGAGAGGCAGTTCTTGACTCAGTCCTAAGTGGAGCACAGGATCTGGTCCAAGAGGTGACTATAGCTGAATTGGTAAGTAATAACGACCATAATGTAATTAAATTTAACATCCTCGTGGGGGGGAAATACCAAAGAAACCCACCACTGAAGCGTTTAACTTCAGAAAGGGGAACGACATAAAAATGAAGAAAGTAGTTGAAAGGAAATTAAAAGGAACAATCCCAAGTGAAATGCCTGCAAGCTGCATGGAAACTCTTTAAAAACACCGTACTAGAAGGTCAAACTAAATGTATACCCTGAATAAAAATTAGAAGAAAAAAATAAGAAGAAGATCAAAAAATTGTCACTATGCCTAAACAGCAGAGTAAAAGAGGCAGTTAGAGGCAAAAAGGCATCTTTGACTAACTGGAAGTCAAATCCTACTGAGGAAAACAGAAAGGAACATAAACGTTGGCAAGTCAAATGTAAAAGCATAATTAGGCAGGCCAAAAAAAGAAGTTAAAGATCAGAGAAAGGGACACAAATACTAACAGCTAATAGTAGAAGCAGGAAGCCTGCCAAACCATCAGTGGGGCACTGGAAGATCAAGGTGCTAAAGGAGCACTCAAGGAACACAAGACCATTGCAGAGAAAGTAAATGATTTCTTTGTATCATTCTTCACTGCAGAGGTTGTGGGGGAGATTCCCATACCTGAGCCATTCTTTTTAGGTGACAGATCTGAGGAACTGCCCCAGATTGAGGTGTCAGTAGAGGAGGTTTTGGAACAAATTGATAAATTAAACAGTAAGAAGTCACCAGGGCCAGAGAGTATCACTCAGAGTTCTGAAGGAACTCCTAACTGTGGTATGTAACCTATCACTTAAATCAGCCTCTGTACCACATTTTTAAACAGCGATTTTTAAAAAAGGCTCCAGAGCTGCTCCTGGCAATTACCGGCCAATGAGCCTAACTTCAGTACCAGGTAACTATAATAAAGAACAGAATTATCAGACAGATAGATGAATAAGATATGTGGGGGAAGAGTCAACACAACTTTTGAAAAGGGAAATCATCCCTCGCCAATCTATTTGAATTCTTTCAGGGTATCAACAAGCATGTGGACAAAGGTGATTCAGTTGATATAGTGTACTTGGATTTTCAGAAAGCATTTGACAAGGTCCCACACTAAAAGCTTTTACGCAAAGTGAGCAGTCATGGGATAAGAGGGATGGTCCTCTCATGGATCAGTAACTGGTTAAAAGACAGAAAACGAAAAGTAGGAATAAATGGTCAGTTTTCACAATGGAAAGAGGCAAATAGGAGGGTCCCCCAGGGGTCTGTATTGGGACCAGTCCTAGTCAACATAGTCATAAATGATCTAGGAAAAGAGGTGAACAGGGAGGTGGGCAAAGTTTGCAGATGATGCTAAATTACTCAAAACAGTTAAGCCAGGGGTCCCCAACGCGGTGCCCGCGGGCGCCATGGTGCCCGCTGGGGCATCTATGTGCGCCCGCGTCCTGGCCGGCGGACGAGCATCCGCCAAAATGGCGCTGACAAGCAGCGTCAACCAGAAGCGTCGCCGCCGAAATGCCGCCAATTTCTGATGGCATTTCGGCGGCGACGCCTCTGGATGATGTTGCTTGTCAGCGGCATTTCGGTGGCGACGCCTATTGACGTTGCCGCTTCTCAGCGGCATTTCGGCGGATGCTAGTCCGCTGGCCATGGTCCGCGGTGGCTCGTTGTCTGGCACCCACCAGACGAAAAAGGCTGGGGACCACTGAGTTAAGCCAAAGATGATTGTGAAAAGTTTCAAAAAGGGATCTCACAAAACTGGGCAACAAACCAGCAGATGAAATTCAGTGTCAATAACTGCAAAGTTATGCACGTTAGAAAACATAATCCTAACTATGTATATCCAATTATGGGGTCTAAATTAGCTGATACCTCTCAAGAAAACTATCCATGATGATGCCGAGATCTCTATCTGACAACATGTGCTCAGTGTACAGCAGCAGTCAAAAAAACTAAGAGCATGTTAGGAACCATTAGGAAAGGGATAGATAGTAAGAGAGAAAATATCATAATGCCACTATATAAATCCTTGGTACGCCCACATCTTGGTACACCTGGTTGCCCCACCTCGAAAAAGATATATTAGAATTGAAAAAGGTACAAAGAAGAGCAACAAAAACGAATCAGGATATGGAATAGATTCTGAATGAGGAGAGAGTAAAAAGATTGGGACTGTTCAGCTTAGAAAAACAACAACTAAGGGGGGGATACGACAGAGGCCTATAAAATCATGACTGGTATGGAGGAAGTGAATAGGGAAGAGTTATTTACTCCTTCTCATAACACAAGAATCAGGGGCCACTGAATGAAATTAATAAGCAGCAAGTGTAAAACAAACACAAGGAAGTATTTCTTCACACAAAGCACAGTCACCCTCTGGAACTTGTTGCCAGGAGATGTTGTGAAGGCCAAAAGTATAACTGGGTTAAAAAAAGAACTAGATAAGTTCATGGAGACTAGGCCCATCAATCCCTATTTGCCAGGCTGAGCAGGGACACAACCCATGCTCTGGGTGTCCCTAAAGCTTTGACTGCCAGAAGCTGCAACTGGATGACAGGGGAGGGATCACTTGATAACTGCCCAGTTCTGCTCATTCCTTCTGAGACATCTAGCACCGGCCACAGTCAGAAGACAGAATACTGGGCTAGATGGACCATCTCTGACCCGTATACCATTCTTATGAAGTCAGGGCACCTAACCCCTCCTATCCACTGTGCTGCTGTGGCTACATTTCTGTTTTAGTGCACTAGTCTGATCAGAGCTAGCCTGGGAATGTCTTCCCAAACTCGAAATTACACCTCCATCCCAAAATGTAGCAATACCTTTCGTCTCTCCCATCTTAACCCCTTCTCCCAACACCTTTGAGCCCACTTGCCTCTCCAGCTACTGCCCTTTTTCCCTGTCATCTCTAAGCTCATTGAATGCACTGTTTACAATCACTATCTTGAGTTCCTCTCCTCCAAATTCCATCCTAGACCCTCTCCAATCTGGCTTCTGCCTCTTCCACTCCACCGAAACCACTCTTGGCAAAGTCTCTCATGACCTGTTCCCAGCCTGCCTGTCATTCAGGCGCATGACCTTGGCATCATCTTCAACAACTAGATCTTCACATCCAGACTATGTCTAAATCTCGCTGATTCTTTCTGCGTGACATCTCTAAGATGCAACTGTTCCTATCCATCCACGCAGCTAATACTCTTAGCATCTCGCATCTCCATTACCGGAACAACCTGCTCTCTCATCTTGACAAATGCAGTCTTGCCCTGCTGCTATCCATTCAGAATGCTGCTGCAAAGATCACTTTCCTAGATGGTTGCTATAAGCACGTCATCCCTCTTCTTGAATTCTTCCACTGGCTCCCCTCTTCTCTGTCGCATCGTACAAAAGCTGCTTGTTTTCACTTCACAGACCGCACCTATCATCTTTTATTCACTACTGAAATGTCAACTCCTGCCTCCAGTGGGCCTGTGATGTCAGCCTCCATTGCCCACTTGTTAAATGTTCAAACAAGGCCCTTGGTGCTTTCTCCCAGGCTTCTCCTCACACTGGTGAGGATCTGTCCATATTCACCCTCAAAGCTACCTCATTCTCCATCTTCAAATCCCTCCTCAAAACTCTCCTTTGCCTCAATGCCTACAAAAAACTTGACACCAGTTAACCTGATGGTACACTGAGACCACAGCTGCCCATTTTCTCATTGTTTCCTTTTTCCCGCCATCTCTCTCTCTCTCTCTGTCCATCTAGTGTCTTTTGTCTCACATTTAGCCTGTATGCTCGTTGGCACAGGGACTGGCTTTTTATTCTGTGCCTGTGCAGCACCTAGCACAATGGGGTCCTGGTCCCTGACGAGGGCTCCCAGGCGCTATGGACATACAAATCAATAATAGTGGTTTTGGCACTCCGAGAAATGCAGACTTTGGATGCCAATTCAGTATGTTCTTTTAAATGCTGCAGATACCCAGGGAATTGCTATGACATCTGCTTCTCTCTTTTATTCTAGCTTTCGGAAGAATTTTGGTTGCGGAGCTAATGCGTCTATGAAGGCAAAGCAGAAAATGGCTTACAGGGTTATCAAGGATGAGCACAAGAAGCTGGGCCCCATGAGATTTTCAGAGATAGCTGTCACAGTCCTCTTCTTATTATTGGTGGTGCTTTGGTTTACCAGAGACCCTGGGTTCATGCCAGGCTGGGCAACTAATGTCTTCAACAAGAATGGCGAAAGGTATCATTGCTTTTCCTGTCCCCCCAAACAGCAGCCAAACACTGAACAGTAGAGATCCAGTATGGGCGTGCGGGAGAGTATCCTGCCTTCTCACCTGCTCAAACCACATTGGCTCTCTGTTCCCATCTGGATAAATCCTGCATAGTCTGTGGCCTAGCCTTTTGGCAGTACCATGCCAAATTCAGATGTAAAATCTTGCCCCAGATTGTGCTGCCCTAGCTCCTTTAATACCCCTGCCAAACATACTAGACTCATTTCTGGATCAATCTCTTGCAGTTATGTGACTGATGCGACAGTTGTCATCTTCATTTCACTTCTGATGTTCCTAATCCCTTCAGAGATCCCCACCTATCTATGGCATAATAGGGCTCAGCAAGCGCCACAACAAGGTAAGAACTAGCTCAGTACATCAGAAAATCACAATAGAACACAGGAAGTTTCCCTGCATCTTGGATTTACAAGGGGAATTTCAAACACTGAACAATTCCAAGGAGCCAAAGGACAGTGCTGGGGAGGTATCTTCAGAGCTGTTTGTGGTTTCCTGCAGGACTGAAATTATATGCTTTCCACTGTGCATTTCGCTGATCACAGAATGAGTCCGTTTCTGGTGCATCCCATGAAGTGGGCTGTAGCCCACGAAAGCTTATGCCCAAATCAATGTGTTCGTTTCTAAGGTGCCACAAGGACTCCTTGTTCTTTTTGCCCAGCAAAGGGCATTATATGCATGAATCATCACTGCTGAAGCTGGAGAGTCAAGGAGGAGACATAAGATTTCCTGGGGGGATAGTTAGCAGCTCTGAGGATATGTTCCCACACATCTAGTCTGTTCTTCCACCTTCTGGGGGTGAGGGCGAGTTTCCTATGACTTACTCACTAGTGTTTTCTCTAGTCTAGTTTAAAAAGTTTGAAGTGATGAAGCTTCCGTCACTTCCTTTAGGAGGCAATCCCATAGTCTAGTAGACCCCATTCCGTGTTGCTCCAGCTCTCCACTCCCAGGAGGAAATGCAAGAAGTGGGGAGTCTCACAGGCATCAGACACTAGTAGTGTTGCCGTGTGTTAGCACAAACTAGGAGCATGGACTGAGGGAAGGGCTATATTGTGGGCACTGTTGCTGTTTGTCAGGGGAGCAATGTGCACCAGAGCAACTGAAGGAACAGCTGGACCAAGGCCCACAAAGCTGCTGCAGCTTACGCTTTCCCCTGGTGCTTGGGAGTGGAGTGCAGAGATGCTCCCTTGGATGTGCTCTCCATCCCTGTGGCTCACAGATTGGTTCTGGATTTTAGATAGCACAAGGCAGATTCCAGTGCTCCCTGCTCTCTTGGACTGGAAGACGGTTAATCAGAAGATGCCCTGGAACATTGTGATTTTGCTGGGAGGTGGCTTTGCCCTGGCCAAAGGCAGTGAGGTAACTTCATCTGTCTGCTTACCAGAAACATTTATCTCACTGGACAAGGTTTTATTTTGCTCTTTATTTTTGTTTGCACCCTGTGGAACACCAGAGGGCACTCTAGTAGCACCAAATGCCCATTCTCTCAGCTGGAGACCAGCATTAAGAACAGTCTTGTGCTCGCTCCTGAGTTTCTACTGCTGCTGTGCACAGGTGACATAGCCACTACCCAGGGAGGCAGAACAACTAACTGTGATTCTGAGCAGGGGACTCATGCGGGAAGGGCCAAACACATCAAATAATGCAAGTCAATGATGATTTCTTGGCATGACAAGTTGCCCAAGTGTTGCCCAAGTGTGAGGAGGCACAGGCAGGCAAGATCTGCCATGATGGGATTCCAAACCATTTCAGGTTCTTTACTGTTCAGTGCTGGATCTGTGCAATGCAGCATTGCCACCTAGAAGCCAGCTGGGCTAAAGGCCGCCTGATGCAGACACCTCCCATTAAACAGAAGTTGTGCAGCAGGTGTGACTTGCATCCCCATATACATTTGTTAGCAAGCGTGGCTGTGAAATGGAATAGAAAAGAACAGAAGGAAGATGGTAGAACGTAGTGCAGAGTCTAAGTCAGAAGACTTTTCCACTGTGATTCGGAGAACATGAGTAGCAATATGTGCAACTGATGGGCCAACCATGGACAACTTGTTCCTCTCTCACCTCAGATTTGGAAACCAAATATTGGAAATTGATGGAGAACAGTGAGATACCGAATTGAATTGAATGTAAGAAAGCACCATGTCTAACAAATAGTCATTTGTTTTGTGGTAACAATGAGAAGCCCCAGTCAGGGATTAGGATCCTATTTTGCTAGGCATTGCACACACCGATAACAAAAAGATGTTCATATAACACAAGAAACAATGGGTGGCTACACCAAACAGATGGTGCGGTGAAACACATGGAAACAGCGAGAGGATTATGATTAGTGTAGTAAAGCAATGGTCGCAGCACACCAACAGCCTGGTTATTGTTGAGTTTTGTAGGCATTGCAGCAGAGTGAGGTTTAAGGAGAGGTTTGGAGGAGGATAATATAGTACTGTGCAGATGTTAATGGGGAACTACCCTCATACATCAGAAGTGGCATAGGAGAAACTGTTTATGGAACAATCTGATGAATAGGAAATAAAGACTTGTACCACTGGTGGTCCAGAAGAGGTGGTTGATGGCTCCATGCTACGTAAGAGATAATAAATAAAGCAGGGATAGGCCATGAAGGAAGTTACAGGCGAAGACAAGTTGTTTGTGTTTGATGTGGTGGGAAAGAGGGAGCCAGTGGAAGGCTGCAAAGAGTGAGAGGATGTGGTCAGAGTGACAAGGCAGGAAGATAATCTTAGTGGAAGTGCTTTTAATGGATTTGGAGGAGCTGGAGGGGCAAGGTGGCATTTGTCAAGACCAGAAAGGAGGAGGTCATAGTAGTCAAGATGTGGAATGAGAATGCGTGAAAATTTTAGCTGTGTGGACAGAGGAAAGGCTGGATCACAGAGATGTTATTCAGGAAGAATCATCAAGATACAGACATAGTCAGGGTGTGTGAGTCTACAGAGAGAGCTAAGTCAAAACTGATGTCCAACTTACAGGCCTGTGTAACAGGGCGGATGCTGGTATTGTCTACAGTCAATAGGAAGGAGGAGGGGTCAGAAGGAGTAAGAACTCAGTTTTGACTATGTTGCATTGAAGTTGGCAGCTGGACACCAACAAGGGCCTGTCAGAAAGAGGGGCTGAGATTGTTATTTGGACAGGAGACAGGTCCAAGTAGTGATCACGTACAACTAATGCCCTGCACAGTGTAATGGGAAAGAACTCCTTTATACAAATAAGGGACAATACAGTATTCTTTCCCTCTCAGTGGCGTTAGGATGAAAAAAGTGTGTGTGTCTTATTCATTCCCTTGAGTTCTGTTGCCTGTGAATAAAGACTAGCTGCTTTTCTCCAGAGAGCAGTCTTTGAGTGAGACAGTGGGATTGGCAGGGAAAATATGTTTACTGAGTGTAGCTCGTTATGGCACTTGCCCAAGGACATGTCCACTGTGCTGACCGACCTCTCTCCATCCCTCTCTTTCAGGAATCTGGTTTGTCTGTATGGTTAGGTAGCAAACTGACCCCTTTGCAGAATATCCCATCTCCTGCTATTGCTTTGCTGTTATGTCTCCTGGTGGCCACTTTCACCGAATGCACCAGTAATGTGGCTACCACCACCCTCTTCCTTCCTATACTGGCTTCCATGGTAAGTGCCACCTTTTCAGATTGCTTCTGCAGGAAAAGTAAAAGAACCTTCAATCATGTTCCAAGTACAAACTTACTCAGTTACTCAAAAACCCTAACAGAGCCAACCACAGGCTCATGCCCTTGATCACGTGATAAGGTTTAGGATATAGATTTATTACATATATTCTAAAATAAGGTGTGCAGGTGAAAATAACAGGACTGATAGGCCAGGCAACTGCAGTCCTTTTATTCACAGCAAAGGCAATGGCAGTGTTAACTTTCCCATACCACCACATCAGTGTGCCTCATCGTGACCTTCAGAGTCACCTCTAGGGGTGACAGCATAGATCAGCCTCCACAATCCAGTCAAACCTTTGCAGCTCCACTGAGAGTGGCTATAAGGAGACCACTAGTGCCAGCTGTGGGGGTAGTTTTAGGATGTGAAAATCTGGCCCCAGCAGGAACTGGAGTAAGAATCACCAGACATATTTTGCATAAGACACTGAACAGTATGACCTGTAATTCTTTACTGAAGAGAGCCAAATTCCCCCTTACCCAACCACTGCCCCTCAGAGCTTGGGGGCTCTTCTTTCAAGTGGTACATTTACTTAGCTCTTGACAAAGGACTTTGATGACTTTTTCCCTATGTTTACGGAGTCTGGACTGGACTGTGATAATTGTGATTAACAATTTATATTACAGTAGTAGCGGGCTCAGGGCCCCAGTGTGCTGGTCACTAGGAGCTCCTGCTTCCTGAGCTCTGCGGGAGTGACTGGAAGCTTCTGAAGCAGGACGGAAAGTGTCCCGGAGTGTCTGGGAAAGGGAAGGGTGGGGCACGTGTCACGGCTAAACACAGCCAGATTCTTCTGGCCCAGACTCCCTATGAACTTTGCTGGTATTAAAACGGTCTCCGTTCTTCTCACCTCCTGCACAGGCTCAAGCCATCTGCCTCAATCCGCTCTACGTCATGCTGCCATGCACACTCTCCGCATCATTGGCATTCATGCTCCCAGTGGCTACTCCTCCCAATGCCATTGCCTTCTCCTATGGACAGCTCAAGGTTATTGACATGGTGAGCAGCAGGGCACCCCTCCGATTTTCACTTACACTGTTTTTTACCTTTCTCCTTTTTTGTCTTAGTTTTTCCTTGACAAGGTATTACAGAGCGGATTGTACCCTGCTAAAATCAAATGGAATAAAGAGCCTAGACCTGTGCATTAACATAGGTCACTGGGACCAGGAAGTACACTCCGAGCCATATGAACAAGAACTGCCGTTGAGCTCTTAGAAAACAGTCAGAGACACTGCATGGAAAGAGTTTCTTAGGGTGCTCCAACAGCACCCGGGAATTGATGGGAAATGGACGTGTGTAGCTGTGCAGATAAACTAAATACAAACCGTGATAATGGCAGAAGGGTTCCTATCATACTGCTCTTCTGCACAGCTTAGGCAAAGCCTCAGATGTTTGTCTCTGCCAGTTATTCAGTGCATTCCACCATGGCTGGACTTGCCTTTCTCATGATAGCACAGAAAGAGAAGGGCATCTTTAAAATTGACATATAAGGGCAGCAGCATTGCCCCCCCAAAGTGAACATCAAATCTAGATGCCAAATCAAGAAAGGGCTGCGTAAGTGTGTGGCTGGGATTCCAGGTCTTCTGAAAAGACTTAGCCCTATCCAAATAAATACTCAAAGTCTTCTTAACAGCTAGGATATGGAGCCCAGTTTACTCTGATGTGAATGAGGTTTTGGAAAGAAAACCAGATTAATGGTCTGGGTTAAGTGATTTAGCATCAGCTACAGGCAAAAACAGTGGTATTGAAATTAAACTTCTTGGGTTTAATTTATGACAGACGAAAGGCCCAGAGATGCATAAAGGGGCTCTAAGATTCCCAGAGCAAGCTGGGGGAGAATTGCCCCCAGTGCAGGAACTGAGGAGCACAGCCACAGACTGTACTGTGAGGATTCCTCACAAGACCTGCTATGGGGCCATGCTGGTAGGGCTGGGAGAGGTGGGCTGGAGGAGAGGCTGCAGCTCCACAGCACTATGCAGGGGCCACTCCAGCCTTCAAAGCAGCTCACCATTGGGAAGGCACAAAGGTGGCATAAAGTCATCTCAGGCCTCCCTCCCCCTAGGCTGAGAAGTGCGTGGTATGCCTCGAAGAGGCTCCACTCAGAATCCGATCCCTTGATTCCTGTTTGTTTTGCTCTGCACACTGCTACAGGAAACAAGGGATCCCAAATTTAAACCCCTTCCCCACCTGGGCCTCTATATCCCCAGCACAAAGCCGAGCCATTCCACCCAGGCCATCTTCCTCAGATGGACACGGCTGCCCAGCCTGGGTGCCAGAATAAGGATCTACAGATCAAGCCACAAAAGCCATCCATACAAACTCCCTACTCCTGATCAGCAGAGCGGAAAGAAAAAACAGACTTAGTTCAACTATTGACACTGTTTCTTTACAATTCTAGGCTAAAGCTGGGAGTGTTCTCAACATCTTGGGTGTCCTGACAATCATGCTTGCCATAAACACCTGGGGCTACCCCTTGTTCAATTTGAATAAATTTCCAGTATGGGCAAACAGCACGTCAGCAGCTTCCTGTTACTAATACAGATGGACAATGAAACCAATAGCGGTGTCTGATGGAGCAGTATTGTCACTCTGACCAGCAGCACCATCTACTCAAGCTTTGGTGTTGTACTGGACCAGACACAACATCTAGAAACAAAGTCACCCAGATGTTAACAGCAACACAATTATCTGACTCTTCTGCTGTATGCAAAAGATATAGCCTTGTGCTGTGCAACCCTTGCTGGGGTCCCAGGCTACCTCTCTCTTGAGAACCAGTGGGAAATTTCCCCCAGTATCAGGCACATCCATTGGCTCTCAGATTTTGCCTGCAAATTCAGTGTTTGTTTTGAGTGTACAAGAAGAGGAAAGGAAGTGTGACAGAGAAGTGTATGTAAGAGGTTGGAGGGAGACATTTGCACCTGATGTTGTGTATGCAACTGTGTGTATTTGAAACCTCTGTTTGTAGGTACAGACCTCTGTGTATGTGTGCTTGTGCATGGGCATGGTGAACATAAAACGGTAAGTGTGATCTGCAAGCACTCCGGCAATGTATGTATTGTAACAGTTATGGACAAATCAAAACACTATCTAGCCCATTCTATTTCTCTGTAATTTATTTATTTTAAATTCACTCTGTAGTTGAAGTTCCTAAGAGCTTCTGAAAGTAAGAGGCTGTTTTCACTATGACTATTTATGGAGGCTCAAAAACTGTGCAGGGGTAGTCTATTTTTTTGTCAAGATCCAAATTTGTTGGTCAAGGTATAGTCAAGGTCCAAACTCCAGAGAAAATAACAAAAAAGAAAAAACCAACAACAATAATTATAATAATAAGTACATAAAAAGATTTTGGGGTTCATTCAAAAGTGTCTGGCAGTCCGGATTTGGCCCATGGTCCGCCTATTGACTACCCCTGCTGTAACAACATGACACGAACTCTAGCATTCTCCTGAGAATGGGAAAATTCTTGTTTCCTAAAGTATTGGTTGAATTAAAGAATGTGTATGCAAATCCTACATTCTGGCTAGTTTTTCTGTAAGAAACCAATCTTTCTGCTGCCATCTTGCACGTGTCAGCTCCCCAAACCCTTGCCCCCCTCCCCACGGCAGAACCACCATAACCAACATTTCTTTTAACACCAAGGAAACAATTATGGAATATCCCTTGGTTTTCAGCTTTCAGGTCAAATTACAATAGTGCCTACGTGACGTAGGAACGTAAGCATGCACTGACTTTCAGTGAGACTTACCACATTCCGAAGAGGAAGATTTTCAAAGATGCGTAGGTGCCTAACAATGCACATAGGCACCTGGTGGGATTTTCAAAAGCACCTAAACAGGTTAGATGCCTAAAGCTATTGAAACTGAAATCAATGAGAGTTTAGCATCTACCCTACTTAGGTGCCTTTGAAAATTCCATCAGGTGCCTATGTGCGTCTCTAAGCACCAAAATACCTTTGAAAGCCTGGCCCAAAGTCATATAGGCACTTCTGAAAAGGTTACCTTTCATCTCTCTATTTACCATGTCCACTAGAGAGAAGATGGACAGTACTATTTATCTCTGGGAGGAGAGGAGTATATGATAATTACCACGGCCATTAGTAGGGAAATGCAGAACGTTATCTGCAAATTTTTGAGAGAGAAACCATTGTCTCATACAGAAGCCATACCTAATGCAGGAAAGAGCACAGAGAAATGGAAAATCAGGATTCATTTTGACAGGCCACTTCCTTGCCTGTCTTTGGGAAAATCAGGCTACAGGTTCACAGAACACTCCTGATGTATTTGCATAAAATCTGCCTTGTTCAGGTATTTCTGCACCATACACTCCAGAGCACACCCTTCCCCCCACTCCCACCCCTCCAGGTTTGATTCTAATCACCCAGCTGGTAAAACAAGTATCAGTCTACAGGTACACAATGTGCCAGCTGGAGAGCAGGTGCCTCTAAAACCGTAGGCTAGAAAAGGTTTATCCTGTTCTGCTAATGACCTGCCATTTCATTTGTGTGCAGTGTTAGAAGTCAGATGACCTGACCCATCTGGCAGAATTCAGATTTATACAAACAAATATTTGATGCCATCTACCAAGGTCCCGGCAGTCTGCACAGGGAGGGTTTATGATTTGCTCGAGCATTTACTTCTGTAGTCTTGTGTGAGATGACTACAATAACCAATGCCTTATTCAGAGAAGGAATCTTCTCCTCCTCCTTCAAATATGCAGTAATTCTACCCATACTGAAGAAACCCACTCTGTATACATTGATTCTAGCCATGCACTATCCTGTATCAAACCTTCCATTCCTGAGCAAGTCCATGGAGAAGCTAGCCAAAGGCTAACTGCAAGCTCATCTAATTGAAGCCTGGATTCAAGCCAGGACGTGAGTTGGAAACAGCTTCAGTGGCACTGATGGATGGTTTCCTGTTACCTATGGATGGAGGGCAGACATCTATTCTCTCCCCTCTGCAATATTCAGCCAATACACTCTCAACCAATTGTCTCACCTAAGAGAAGCAGCAGCGCTCCAGGGGAATGTGATAAAATGCCTTAAGTCTTTCCTGGAGGGGGACACAAAGAGTACTGATGAGAAACGGCACCTCTGTCACTGGACTACTCACTTGTGGAGTCCCGCAAGGATTCTCCCTCCAGTTGTATTCAGCACATACATGCAGCTTCTAGATGAAACAGTAACCCAACATGGGCCTAAGTGTGTCAGCAATATGTAGATGACTCAAATGACACACATCTCTACTTATCCTTCACGATGTACAACTCTACTATTACCACCAAGATGGCTCAGGGCTTGGAGAAGATCAGCTCATAGATGAAGAACAGCTGGTTGAAGCTGAATCCAAGTAAAATGGAGGTGGTGCTGGTGGGCAGAGGAAAGCACTTGGTGGCGTTTGCTGCCACAGTACCGCCTCCTTTGGTTAAGATACACACCCATAATTGGTGTGCTCCTGGCTTCCTCACTGATGCTAAGCATCTTCCACATGTAGTAACACTTTCTGCTATCTCTTGTTGGCTAGAACATTCTGTCCTATTCTGGCGGACGATGACTTGGATTTACTTATACATGCCTTGGTCACCTCTTGTCTGGACTACAGCAATCATACCTGGGCACAAAGCCATCAATCCTGAGGAAACTCCAACTAGAACAGAACACATCTCCTCAGCAACATAGGCTGCTGTGAACACATCAAGCCTGGCCGACGGTCTTTATGTTGGCTTCCCATAGAATACTGAGTCAAGTTCAAGGTCTCCATCCCTACCTGCAAGGTGCTCAATGATGTGGGACCAGCATATTTAAAAGATTGCTTAAAGCTCCAGAATGAGTGCTATGGGCGACATCTCCACTCCTCGGTCACAATGGGACTCGGTACCACAAAGGTAAAGCTGGTGTGTGCAGCAGACAGAGCTTTCTCATGGGCTGGTTCAAGACTGCGAAGCAAACTTCTACACTAGATATGTGGCTAGGAACCCTGAGGGGCCATATTTTGAGATGAAATTGGTGACTGAAGGCCTTCTGCCAGACAGCATGGTGGTGAAAGACAGGGGATCCACCCAGGAAAAATTGAGAATCCAAAGTTATCTTATTATCTGGAGGTGGCTTTGATGTTGGTGCCTATTTATTTCTCCACCCTATGAATTTTATCCTGAGACATGACTCCAACTCCTCTGAATGTTTCTTCTCTCCAACTTATCATCATCATGATTAGAAGACTAAAGGTATGTATATACTGCAACAACAAAACCCCACATCAGCGAGTCTCAGAGTCTGGGTCATCTGATTCACGGAGCTCGCACTAAGCGGCTAAAAATAGCACTGTAGATGTTCTAGCTTGTGCTGGAGCCTGGGCTCTGAAACCTGGCAATGGGGGAGGGTCTTAGAGCCCAGGCTCCCGCCTGAGCAGCAGTGTCTACACTGCTAATTCTGGCCCCATAGCACAGATCTGAGTCAGCTAACCTGGGCGCTGAGACTCACTTTTTTCTCAATATAGATGTATCCCCTGATGAAGAGGTGAGCATCTAAAAGTGGCAGGTTTCACTGTCAGTCTGAGTATTAATGGAGGGAGTTCCCTCCCGGGGGCCAGGTGCCACAACAGCTCAGGTTCCTGCTCCTGTCAGTCTCACTCCTTGTGTTGACAGCTCCTCAGGGCTTTAAAAATTATGACCAGGATCTTGAATTTGATTGGGTATGGAACCAATGTAATAGCTAGAAGACAGGGCTGAAGGGTTTGCATTTTCCTTTCCCATAGAATAGTCAGGCAACTGTTTTCTGTGACAATGGAGCTTTTTCAGAGTGCTCTTGTACCATGCTAAACCATTCACCTTCCCTCCCTGTGTTTAGACCTATCCAATATTATCCATTTAATCTTAGTATTTGCACTACAAGCATCACCATGGAATCTGAGTGCCTACCAGAATGAAAAAGCCAAACAGATGGTTTATCACAGACCTGTATTCCCTCTTTGCTCTTCACTTCCAGGAACAGGAGGGTGTGTGGGTTTGTTTGTTTTGTATTTTTCTTCTCCGTTCTTACAAATGGTTTTCATATCCCTCTAAATTGCTGTTTAGCTAAGCTATAAATATTTAATTCTTATAGTATGTCCCAATAACTCTGTCCTTCCAGACTCTTAAATCCTCCATATGATTCTCTGACTTCTTTCCTTCGTGTCTACATCTTTAAGGTGCCGAGTTGTTCAAAAGTAAATGCAGTATTAAGACAGTTCTTGAGGTCATTAGAGTCAGAAGAAAGATGCAGCCTGGGGTGCCCAGGGGCAAGTGGGTTAATGTTGTGTATTCCCAGTGTCATCAGCACATGAGTACCCAGGATCAGCATCCCCTAGGAAATGGCTCCAGCAGACGCTGCAGGATCAGGGACACAGAGGAGGTCAGAAATCCCAAAAGGGACCCTCCATCTTCTGAAAGGAGAGATGTGACAGGCCCTAGCCTACTGAAACCTGGGCACTGCTAATGAAACACTCACAGTGATGCTACAAAGTGAGGAGGAGCGCTGTCAAAGGGCAAAGTTCAGACCTGTATTTGTCCCAGAGAGATCTAAGAACTGATTCCAACCTGAACTAATGGGTGTGTTGGCAGCAAGTACATGCAGGGCACTTTTATTGCCCGGGGTGTGGCTAAGGTTAAAGCAGATTGAGGTACAGCTGAGTACAATGTACCTGTGCAAAAAACCTATAACACATCACCAACCCCCATCCCAGTGTTCTGTCCCAAGCACGTGGCAAGTGTTTCTAAGCCACACGGTTACTGTGGTCACTTTCAAGGGGCGGCTCCCCTTTGTGTCTCCATTGCTATTGTCCTCAAGGGGTGGCTCTGACTTCCCTACCCTATGATCAAATTTCACAATCTTTCCTGAAACTGTCAGCTCAGCACCTGCTGCCGAGCGTGTGATTCACAAAGCTGCTCTATGTCTCAGAGCTGACACTGAATTTGCTTTGCATAAGAGAGGTAAGTGTTATATTTGTTAATGAGAGGACGGTTGTCTGCATGTCTGTCTGGCTAAAAAGCAAGGGCACTGCAAAACCACAAAACACAGGTTTCCCACAGCACATGCCAATGAGTAAGTGGGTGGCTCGCAGTTAGCTCCTCCATATCCCCTTAGAGTTATAATGTTGAGCCTTGCCATGCCCAGACACACACCTACCCATGCAGCTACAGGCACACACACGTATACACACACAAGAATCCGAAGGATTTACTCTGACACACACATAGCCATTGTACAGGAAAACACCACGGAATATGATGGGCACTATGCCAAATAATAAAACAATACAAATAACTTCCATTTATAGAGTGCATTTCGTCATAAAGGATCCAAAAGCACTTTTAAAGGGATATGCAAACGGTGCACAGGAAATTCTGTCACGTCAGGGATAGACTGCAATAGCTATCCTGGAATACAAAGCCATACTACAACAGAGTTTGGAACAGGGGAAGTGCAATCCTATAG